CTCAAGCGAACGGGCAAGCAGAAGTAACTAACAGAGCGATACTTCGCGGATTGAAAGCTCGCTTAACTCGAGCCAAGGGGTTGTGGGTGGACGAACTGCCCAGTGTCCTTTGGGCCTACCAAACTACTATTAAGACGGGAGAGACCCCTTTCAACCTCACATATGGTACAGAATCGGTAATCCTGGCGGAAATAGAAGTGCCCACATTACGATTAGAAGCTTGTGATGAGGAAACGAACAATGACGAGCTTGGTACCAACCTAGACATGGTAGAAGAGGTACGAGACCTAACTTACATTCGGACCACAGCTTACCAACAAAGACTAGCTCAGTACTATAACGCCCGGGTCAGAAAATGACACTTTCGCATCAGTGACCTAGTTTTTCAGAAGGTTATGGTACCTGAGCCCGGCGTTGGTAAGCTCAGACCGAATTGGGAAGGTCCATATCGAGTAAAGCGGGTATTCGGGGAATGCACATATGAGCTCGAGACTTTGGAAGGGAAGCGGGTACCTCGAGCATGGAATATCGATAACCTAAGAAGGTATTACTTATGAACCCATGATTTCAGGGCAAAATTTCTCTAAGACTATGTGAATACCGAACTGGTCGAAAAAGACGACCGACTAGAGAGAGGACTGCGAGTCACTCCCAGGAGCCTAAGGGCTATGGCGCCGAACTGACAAAAGACCTCGGCATTACAATTAGTCTTAGTCGCCTCTTCGGCATAGGCAGAACAAAGTCTTAGTCGCCTCTTCGGCATAGGCAGAACAAAGTCCTAGTCGCCTCTTCGGCATAGGCAGAACAAAGTCCTACTCGCCTCTTCGGCATGGGAAGACAAATCCTAGTCGCCTTTTCGGCATAGGCAGACAAGTCCTAGTCGCCTCTTCGGCATAGGCAGACAAGTCTTAGACGCCTTTGAGGCATGGAGTGCTCGGGTGCAAACCTTACGGTGTCTAATTCACCTCGGTGTACAACAACGTAAGGTTAATCCCATCTGGAGTCAAGCTCGTTAGCTCAACACTTAGGGATAACCGACACTTAGGCAAATGAGTGACCGAGGCATAAACAGATTGGGTATGTACCTTACAGTGTTTGTTCGCCCTGGCATACAATGGCAATTAGATTATTCCTACTATTGTCGAGCTCACCAGGTCGGGAGTAACCTATACTTAGAAAAAAGTTCACTCCTATTTGGTTTAGCTCACCCGCTCGGGAGCAACCTATACTTAGAAAAAAGTTCACTCTTATTTAGTTTAGTTCGCCAGATCGGGAATAATCTACACTTAGAAAAAATTTGCACACAAAGATTGCAAAAACACTTATATTTCATTGATATAGAACTTCAAGTACAAAAAAAATAACAATTTATCTGATGCAAAACAAATGCCATTGAGGAATGAGGGTTTTACACTATGCACATTGAGGAATGGGGGTTTTCTTCCAAGAATGATCATTTTCTCAATTGTGTGCTTCTTGAAACACATATGATGCAGCTTAGATAAGCATGGAATTCGCATAAATTTGAATTGGAGCTTCTCGTTTTCGGGGATTTTTAAGCTTGCTGCATAAGCTTTTTAGGCGGCCAATTTTTTATTCAACAAAATAATGATATTTAAATTAAAAGAGATTCTTTACACCTTTGACTTACCCAATCTAGCATCTCTTCCTTTCTACCAGTCATTCATCACCCAACTTGTTTTGGGTTTTCATTGACATGAATTTACATTTAGTATATTCAAAGGTGAAAGTCTGTTTCTGTTTTTCCAATAGCAGTGAATGAAAGCAAGTTTCAAAGTATCCACGTATCGGTATTTTTTAGGTTTTATTTATTTCTTTTGAAACCGGTTTAGAGGGGTCAGTTCAAGGCTCGATTACTTTCTAAACCAGGGTCTGACCTGATACAACCCTTGAAGGGGCGTATCAGAAAGTCATTGATATAATACGTATACGTATCGATACTTTAAACCTTGAATGAATAAAAGATTGACAGGATACATTCCTTTGGCTTACAAATGAATTAAAAATAATAATTGACGCAATAGATTAGTGGAATGGTTCTTCTTTCACTACACTTGGCTTAGTTTTCTTTCCAAGTAGTCTTCCACTCCAGACACTTCGAAATTCAATTGAACACATTACACGATGGCATCAACTTTTTTCAACTTGGAATAATTAATTCATTGCATGCATGATGGGTTGGTCATTTGATAAAATACTTCCTTTGACCTTTAGGCTATGTTTAGTTTGGTAGAAAAGTCACAGTAGAGATGGCAATTCCAGATCCTTATCCTTGTGGGAATCCGCCCCAAAGAGAACTAGGATGGGATTGATTTTTTCTATATGAAGATAGAGATGAGGAAATTTTAATTCCTATTGGCAGGGATTGAGCAAGAATAGAAAAAAATACTTCCTGCCCCATGGGTCCCGATTCTTATCCATGTGAAGATCCTCGCTTATATGTATGTATATTAATCATTTTAAAAATATAATTGAATATGTTTGAATACATTTGGATTTTTAATATGATTATAAATTTTAATTATTTTTTTAATTTTTTAAATAAAATAAAAATCAAAAACAAAATGATTGACATCATAAAAAATCACGAAGAGTGTGAATCTCGGTGAGGATAGGGATGGGGATAACCACAGGGATGGGAATAACCTTGTCCTCACCAGTAAGGACAAGGATGGTGATTTTTATAGGGACGAGGATGGGGAGTGACTCCAATAAATGTACAACATTCAAACCAACTTTATTAATAAATACAATATATAAGCAATAAGTTTAAATGGAATCAAATTGGATAATTCCATATCAGATAGATAAATGTGGATTCTTATTTGATATAATTATAAATAGACTGGATTCGAATAAACCTTATTGAAATAAAGTTATGATTTGAATTTTGACAATTGGGTACCATTTTAGTTGCAAAGGCTTTATACAACAATCTTATAACCTTTGGCCCTCGTTTTGGGAGTACTTGCTCGATAAATAAGTGTTTTTTCTAATAAGCACTTTTCCAAGTATTTGGTGAAGAAGCCCTTATTTTAAAATGAAATAATATAAGTATTTTTGCAAATTATGTGGTGGGCCAAAACAGGCCATGAATGCAACAAATAAAGCATTTAAAAAAAACCAAACTTTTTAACTTATTAAAAATCTAGGAATGGCAAGATGGTGGGATGGGGCCAGTTTTTTTCCTACCCCCATCTCTGACCCTAAACACATTGCCACATCTCATCGATCTCAGACCCATCCCTGTGCTCTTGGGCAATGGGATCTCCGAATTTTGGCTTGTCTCCCCATTCATACTTGAAAACATATTTTTTGAGAAAGCCATGTTATATATGTATTATGATAGATTATATAATGTGTATAAAATCTATTTTTATATTTTATACATTATAATAATATAATATAGAATATTATATATAATCTATATTATAGGTGTTATATTATAATTTATTATGCTATAATATAAAAGAGAAAATATATAAAATATAAAAATAATGTATTATAGATATATTATATTATAATCAAGTGGGGGGACCCTTGGAAATCCCTATAATATCCATTTAAATCTCACTAATATTTAGTCCCCCATCCATATTTATTAGCTTTTGGCTCCTTGCCCATGTTTACTAATTTTCGGCCCCCTCAAAAAAAAAAAATCATAGCTTCACCCCTAATTATAATATTATATACATATCAGAACATATTATCTATTGGGGTGGATTAGAGTTAGAAGTGGGGTAAGTCAAAACCCCGAACCCCATCAATAGTCACAAAAATATGCCCTAATCATGTGTGTGTTTGGGATCGTGGGCATTTTTTCAATATATGCTATCACATAAGTGCCACTTCAACATTTAGCCCATCATGATGATCTATATGCATAGAGACTCACATAAGCTGGCCTTCATTTATATGCACACCTATCGTTAGGGGAAGTTTCATTTTAATGCTTCCTCTAACGGTTAGGCATTTATTCATTGTTACGTTGTCAATAAATAGTTTCATAATTACTTTTTTTGATTTTACAAATAAATCATGTACAAATGTTTAGTAAATAAACAGAAACTGTATCAAACACATTTACCACGTTAGAGCGAGAAAGATTGCCATATGTGTGGTCTCGACCTAAAATAAGCATTAATTTTGAAAAAAAAAATACTTAAAAATAAACACTCCTAAACGAGGGCTTGGGCTTAGTGTTGCAACATGCCCTATGTATTGTATGTATCGAGTGAGCATCAACCCTCCTAAGTAGACCGGGCAATTGGGTTGGGTGGGTCGGGTTCAGGTTTGATTTCGGGTCGGGTTGACTTTTGGGTTGGTTGTCAAATGCTAGACCCTAACCCTAAATGTTCGGGTTAGGGTTGACCCATGGGTCATCCTAAAAAATAATTGAAATTAAAAAAAATACATGAAAAATGTCAAAATTAAAAGAATTAACCACAAAATTCCAAATATAAAATAAAAAATTAAACATTTAATAATTTAAAGAGAACAATAAAAAGTAAAAGACTAAATAGAAAAAATTAAAGAGTGAAAACTTTTAACAATGCCTAAATAATCCCAATTAAACTTGACAATCAAGTCAATGAGTTGACCCATGACCCAACCCAGTTTTTTTTTGAATTGGGTCGGGTCGAGTTATTTTTACGTTCGAGTAGCTAAATATGAGACCCTAACCCTTTTTTTCCGGTTGGGTCAACATTTTGCCAGTTCTACTCCTATGCCCAATTTTGAAAAAATGAAGAGCAGCCTCCGCTGTTCACAAACAAAAGAGAGGACGCCAACACGAAGGCACGAAAGAACCCATTGGCCTTTGCGCCTTGGTGGAAAACCTCCTTTACCCGAGTCTGAATCTCCTGCCCACAATCCTACGTCTACCCACATAACATCACATGCATACATAGAGAACATCTCATGTTGTGCGTGTGGGCAGGAGATCCGGAGTCGCTTTACCCATCATCACTTTCTCCGTTATACACCCTAAAAGCCGTTTCTTACTCCTCTCTCTCTCTCCCTCTTTCGCGTCGCGGGATTTCATTTCATTAGATCTTCCACCACACAGAACCAGGCACTACCCTGTTTGTCTTGATTTTCTTTTCATCTTTTGCGTTTTCTTACAGAGAGTAAGAGGGTTCTGCGGATGGGGAAGCTCAAAGCTGTTTGTTGTCGGATTTGATCGGGATTTCGAATAACAGAGATTTGATGCAGGTTCAAGGTATGGTTGGCTATTGTTGATTCGTTCCTCCTAGAACTGTATGCCGTTTCTTTCCATTTCTTCGCACTTCGAAGAAGTTGCAGGGATTAGGGAACTTGGTATAAAGCTCGGAATTTAATAGAATTGGCAAACCGGAAGTAGTTATTTTAAGTTTTTAATAGCGCTGCATTTGATTTTGATTCCGTTCTTTGTTTTCTCTTTTCCGTGGGGAGAAATCAAGTTTTTGAGAGGTTCGGAGGCTGTAGGAAGACTTCTATGCTTGTTACTTAAACCACTTTCGCTCGTTTAACAACATTACAGATGTTAATGTTCTATCTGTCGTTGTGAATTTTAATACTGGAACCCACGTTTCTTGTGGAACAACTAGACATTGCTGCCACCTAGATGGGACGAGAATGGTTGATGTTAATATTCTATCTGTGTACATGAACCTTTTTTCTTCCAAATTTTGAGTCCTCCTCCCCTGTCAACTCATTTTAACGACTCTGGAAAATGACCAGTAGTATTGCATCTGCTTAAAATTCAAACCTATAAGTAAATGACTTTGTGCTTAGGATCCTCTTTTTTTTTTTATTTTTCCAAGAATTAGTTTCGAACTTTTGTTTACTCTGAAGCAAAGAAGCTTTTAAGCATTACATATCAGCGCTTTACAAGTAAAGTGGAAATCAGTCCTGTGGCAATCTACATTGGACCAAAATATAAAGTTCAAATCAAGGTCTGCACATTCACGGCATTTTGATTGCAGCCCATTGCTTTGATGATAAATTATATGATCGCCTTGATCTTGCATAGAATGCCACTTCTCCAATGCCGTCTGTTAAGCTTACCAAGAATTATTCATTCCTCGAGTTGTTTTAAGAGGAGATTAATTTATGAATGAAAATTGAAGATTTTAAATTTTATTCTGATCGACACTCTTAATGTCAAATTAGTGTTATTTTAACTTTGGCTGGTTATGGATGATTGTTGTCTTGGAAACTAGGTTATATATTAAGCACTGACTAGAGGCTCATTTGGGTGTTCAAGATTCAAGAGTTGCTGGGAAGAGTTTTAATTGATACCTTTTATCTATTTTGTTGCATAAACAGGAGGAAACCTGGCTTGGGCTTGAGGAAACTGCTGAGTACTCTCCAGCCAAGCTTTCACTTTGTAGCTGTATGTCTTATTATTTTTTTCCATTTGTGTGTCTGATGTATGCTATTGAAAAGAACATGAGATGCAGTTTTTAAAGGGGTGCTTGCTTCTAAATTTTTAACATTTTGAGATTTATTTGTATTATCTATTAGATTACTCCAAATACAAAAACAAAACCTTAAGCCATGATGATGGAGAATTGAAGACTGTTGGTCTTTGACTAATTTATTGGATGGCCATTCAAAGATCCCTAGGGGCACCTCACGTTTCTGGAGATGAACTCATCCTACCAGCACATTTATGTCTTTAGCCTGAATAGTATATGCTAATTTTGTAATGAAAATCAGAAACAAGTGTGAATTTTGTAGATATGAAAATCCAAAAAAGGGGTGCTATGCACTATGTATATATATTTCTGATAAATTTATAAAATTTTAATTGTTAACTATCAAAAAAAAGTAAAATGGTATGTACTGATAAAAAAAATGTAAAGTGCTATGGTTTAGCAAATTACACCAACAAAAATCTGTAAATGTTAGAAAGTTAATTATTCCTATATATGTGCCTGTGTCATATCTTTTTTTTTTCTTTTTTTTTTTAAGAATCAGAATAAAAAATTTCATTAAAAGAAAAAAGATTCATACAACCGGGGGTGTTAAGATGACACCCAGCCACAGCCTTACACACATGCAGTTTACACTACAATAGTTCAATCAAGATACATGGAACATTGGAAGGATGTTAGCTGTGTCAGTATCTATATTGGCATATTATAGGGAATCTCCCTGTTCCACTGACAATTTCACATTGCTATAATTGAAGCTGGCATCTTCGGTCCTGTTTCTTTAAGTGCTTTAAACTGCTGATTTTGATATCATGAGGCTGCTGACTGAACTGAAGTGGTTAATATTTACTTTGTAAAATTAGATTATAAGAATGGAGTTGGATAAGTATCAGGAAATGGAACTGGGAAAGTGAAATGCATTGAATTTTCTACTTCATATAGTGGCTTGAGGGGTAAAGAATGGTCTTAGTTATGAAACCATTTCATTCAGAACATGCAATGTTAAAGTATTGAATGGTTCACAATAATGGACAGTTGTCTGCTAGGTTGTTTGCTGATTTCTGATTCCATATAAGAGATGTGTTTATAGAGCTTGAGGCAGGAACCACATGGTGAGGTGCCTGCTTGAACATAGTAAAACACCACTTTCGTAAAAAATGAACTCACTTAGAGGTGGGGTGAATAGTTTATTTATTTTTTATTTATTTTTATTGAAAACAATGAAAATTTCATTGATTAATAAAAGAATGTTGAGAAACCCATTTTGTTAGGCTGCTGTACCGTCTAATCCTCATGAATTACTATGATCTTTTCATTCAGCTTACATTGATAATTTCCCAAAACATGTGTATCCTGTTAACTTCTTGTCGAGCTAGTAAACCAGCGAAACAATTAACTGACCTCGGAGTCCAATTAACTGCCACAATGATGTCCCCAGCCAATTGCTTGATTTCCCTTAAGTGATACAAGAAATTAATCAGTGCTTTTTTTTTTGAACTTTGAGGTCAGTTGATGGCATTGTTGAGTGACCCCTAACCTATTGAAATCTCTTTTTTCCGAGGTTGGAGCCTTGGGGTTGTGTTAAGCATTATGAATGCTCCCTCCCCTTAGAGGAACTAGGGAGGTACCATTAAGGGTGCAAATGGATCGGATCATGATCCGATCTGATCCTATTTGGTCGAATTCGGATCACCCCTATTCGGATCTTCAGATCGGATTGGATAATAGGATCTGATCAGAAATCGGATCGGATTTGGATCACCCCTATCCGATCCGATATATGTTATATATTTATAAATATAAATATATATAATACATATATATATATATATGCTATTTATTTATTTATTTATAAATATATTATTTATATTGTATTTTTATAAATTTGTTATATTATTTATTTAAAAAAAACATGTATATATATGATGAAAATAATTAAAAAATACTTGTATTTTTTGTTTTTTCTTTATCTAAATTGGTATATTATATTTTTCTTTTAATAATTTATTATTTTTTAAAGAAAACAACTCGGATTGGATAAGATCCAAGATGACTTACCGATATGATTCAAATTCAAATCGAGGCCTATCAGATCCGATCGGATATTCGGATTGGACCGGATCTAGGGATGGCAATTTCCTCATTTCCCCGATCCCCATGGGGATCCACCTGAATGGGGCGGGGATGGGGATGATTTCCCCCCTGTGGGGACAGGGATGGGGAAATTTTCATCCCCGTTAGTGGGGACATGGAGAGCACTCCCCGCCCCGCGGGGACCCCGATCCCTGCCTCGTGGGATCCCCACTAATATATATGTATATATGTATGCACACGCTATATATGTATATATGTACACATACATCTATATATTAATATTTTTAAAAATATGGTTGAATATGCTTGAATCTTTTCTAATAGGATTGTAAATTTTAATCATTTTTTTTATTTTTTAAATAAAATAAAAAATAAAAACAAAATGGTTAACATTATAAAAAATCACAGGGAATGGGAATCCTCGTGGGGACGGGGATGAGGATAACCTTGTCCCCATTAGCGGGGACGGGGACGGGGATTCTTGCGGGGATGGGAATGGGGAGAGGCTCCCTGTCCCTACCCTGCCCTGCTGCCATTCCTAATTGGATCCAACATGAACAGTGTCAGATTGGATTCAGATATACCCTGATTCGAATCCGATCCAATCTGCTTGCATTCCCTAGGTACCATTCAGGATAAAAGATACTAACCTTTTTCATCCACCAAGAATCTTGGAAAATATAAGAAGGATTTTGTTGATAGTTCGGGAAGGGGGTGAGGTAGAAGGAGCAAGATGTTGCTGAAAGTGTTATCCCATTTGATGGAGTTATTCAAATAAATAGGAAGGGGGATATGAAAATGGTGGTTGAAAAAGTTAAAGTTGGCAAGAAGCTAGGCTTGTTCTTTTTAGGAGTAAGGGTTTGCAAGAAAAAGTTTCTTTGGAATTATAAAGAATCAAAGAAGTAAAATTTCAGACTCTAAAAACACATTTATGGATTGAAACAAGTTATGTTGATGATTTTGTTATTTAGAGTGTATAAAGGGATGTAGCTGGAGCTAATGAGGTTTGCAGGCTTGCTGTTGAATGGGAGAAGGAATTTTAATTTGAATACGAATGTGTTAGGGAGGTGATGGTTGAGGGCGTTTCTTGTTGAAGATGGTTATGGATGTTGTGGGTGTTTGGCACCATAGCATCTCACGAGTTTGCCACATAAGAAAAAAAGCAAAAATGCTATATAAACGCATTTGGTGAGCTGTTGTTTTTCTTTGAAATGTTGTTGCAATGATGAGCTTTGGGATTTGTGGAAAGAGGCATTTCTTGAACTGTCGAATTGATGTTTCTTGAATTGCCTTGGTGATCTTGAATCACCAATGTGATGTGGAACATTGAAATTCTCAAAATCTGACAGATTTTGAGATGTCATACAGTCATTATGAATATTTATTATAAAAATAAGTCAAAACACTAAATGCCTAGTCAGCATGAATCTCCACGATTCCACCAACTATGGTTTTGCTTGCATTTTTCAAAAAAAAAGGGAGAAATGAAACACCTATGAATTGGGAGTGCTTGTGAAACGGAATGTCTATGAAACGCATTGGTGCCAAATACCCTAGTTGTTTGTGGTGTGTGGTTCTTTTTTCTATTCTAAGTGTTCATAGAAGCTTGCTACAAGACATGGAGGTCATTATACAATGGGTGAAAAGAGATGCTAATTCATTTGCAGACTGTTTTGCTAAACAAGGGATGGGGAGAAATCGGTTTTTTTGGGCAACATTGTAATTTTTTTTCTGTTTTGTGAGAGTTAAGAGAGTTTATCTCTCCCTTTTCTATTCCTTGTACTGCCTTGCTTTTTTAATTTAATGAATTGGTTCTGTTATTGATAAAAAAATCTTTGTTTTGTAGTGTAGAAATGCAGTTTTACCTATTATTGGTTTGTCAAGGGTTTTGGTGGTTGGTACTTCTCTTTGGAAGCAAGTTGGGTAATTTTCTTTTTGTGTGGCTTTGGTGAGTCTTGATTATGGAGTTTGATTTTTCGTAGTTCTTTTTTCTAGTTGTTTGTGAGTAGTTGGTGTTAACTTGTATTTTGTACTCTAGGTAATCTTTTATCACCTCTCCTTTATTCTTCTTTTATTTTAATAAAAATTTTCTTTTATTATCAAACTAGATTGGTATTCTGGTTTTGGTTTGGGAGTGACATTTGGTGTTTCACTTTGATAAACTGTGGAATTTTCAAAAAAGTGCAACATTTGATTCTACATTTTGGTCTAGGTTTTAAAGGTTGGTTTGCCTTCAAGCTTTGGTTTGGTGTTGGTTGTTGATCATATATTAACATGGCAACATCTGATTCTTGATTCTGGTTAAGTTTTTAAAGTTTGGTATGCCTTAAAGCTTTGGTTTGATTTTGGTTGTTGGTCACTATATTAAACAAAGATGCAGAGTTATAAAAATGGCATTTCTTAGACTCTGTTGTTGTATAGCATCTATGGGTTTTACTCATTTGAAATTTATTGGTCTCTACTCTGTCAACCTGGTATTGCCTGAACTCTTAAAGGTTGGTCTATTTATTCAATTTTGGTGCTGTGAAATCCCTATTCAATTCTAGGTTAAAGTAGAGAAGAAGAAGAGGAGAAAGAAGAAGAAGAGAAGAAGAAAGGTTCGGCCAGATTAGAAAAATGAGTCCACCTCTAGCCGACCCACTTGTATTTATCTCCAATAACATAGTTACAAGAAAGACCATATTGTCCCTCATAAGTGATGGGACACATAACTTAAACTTRAATAAAATAGACCTTTCACTCTCAAATAGATAAACCTAAATGACCAAAATACCCCTGATTTGTGTATTCTAACAGGTGCTTAATTGTTAAGCTGATAAAACCTTATCCTTTATGTATGTTTTGCAGGCATATTATTTGCAGTCCTTGTGACTTCAGAGATATTGTAGCACAAGGTCTTTTGTTGATCATATCCATATTTTTAGCATATATATTGGAAAATGGCAGATACAGTATCAAGCTTCTGGGGTCCTGTGACATCCACCACAGAGTGGTGTGAGAAGAATTATGTCTATTCATCCTATATTGCAGAATTCTATAACACTATATCAAATATCCCATCCGTTCTTTTGGCATTCATTGGGCTTATAAATGCCTTGGGACAACGGTTTGAGAAGAGATTTAGTGTGCTTCACATATCTAATATGGCACTTGCCATTGGGAGCATGTTATACCATGCAACACTACAACATGTGTAAGCTTATTTCTGCTGTGTTATCCCTTCTTGGAATTTCTTTTTCATTTTCCTTGTCTTTTTTGTTAACTTGTTTCAGATAGAATGGTTACTATATTGTACATCTGGATCAGTTTTTTTCCATATATAGATCTATTGATTTGAATGTAAATGCCATCTTCTCTCTGGACATCCTTTTGTTCCTTGTTAATTTATTTGGGTTTCCTTGCTCATAAGCTGCTCCATTAGAGTGAGAAAGGAAATATAAGAAAAAGGAGAATCTGGCCTGGCTGCAATATTTTGTTCCTTTAGTCAAGTTATAATGGGTAAATTTTGGGCAATAAATTTATGTTTCTTGAATCAAAGTTGTGTCAACTACATGTTTTCTCCTTTTCTATCTCTTTGTTGCTCATATACTGAATGAAAATGTCTCTCTTTAATCATTATTTAAGGTATTTTTATTAGCAAAAATATGTTTAAATGCTGTCCTGTTCTGAGATTTACACGATACTTTCAATCTTTACTCTATAAAGATGTAGGGAAGTGTAGCTAAGATGGCCAGGTGACAGCTTGGCATAAGTAGTATGGGAATTTATGTTAATCGTGAACTATTAGACCTTGGATTAAATTTGTAAATGATGAAATGACAACTTACACTTGTTTTTTTAGAAATAATGACAAGGGTTTTGAATAACATACATATGAACACAAGAATTAATTGTCCTAGTATTTAGCGCTACAAGTTCCTCTTGGTGGAAAATGTGTTACACAAATTCAATTCATATTTTTATATAAAAGTTTCATAATTAGTTATTTGCCCCCACTAAGATGTTTATATTTATACTGCTTGCCTAGTTGGTGGCCTAGGCAACTGACAAGGATTATGAGGAATTTTGTATTAGAATTAAGTGATGGACAAGTGTAAAAGATGGAGCTGCATGTGCAAGAATGACGAGGAATCTTGTATTGAATTCTGCAGTGCTTCTTCTTATTCATCTTTCTTTAGAGTTATTATGAGCTCAAATTCTCTTGTCTTCAATATTTCCTGTCAAATCAACTTTTTTTGGGTACGCAACAAGAAAATTTACTAATTTAGATTATGGTAAAATACAATTCAGTGCTGGACAACATTTCAGCCACCCTTTAATTTACATTTAAATCCATATTACTATTTTGCCCAAAACAACTGCTCCCTACACACCCCATGCTGAGCTAGTTATTCAGCCATTCCATTTGCAGTTACTTATGATCTATCTAAAAGTGGCTCTTAGCTCCTTAACTAGAGTGCAAATCTCCCTTATAGTTTGTCTATAAACCCAATCACCTGAATTGTTGCATCTCATCTAAGGACTGACTAATTTAGAGTTGCCTTCCAACTTCACCTGTTTTCCTGTCAAATCAACTTGGCTTGGTCCTATTAAAAAATTTAAGCTTTTTTCTAAGAGGCTTACCACATGAAAATAAATAGAGAAGAGATGCTTCAATATTGGAAGGAAGGCTATCTAATCACCTGAGATATGGAGCCACTTCTCCCTTTTTGGTGCTTGGAAGCAACTGCTTAATAACATTCCTAGCTTCTTTTAGATCTTCCCTTTTCTCTCCCACAGCCATAAGGGGATTTGTTCATTTGAAGGTGAGAGTGGCTCTTTTGTGCTCTGTATGGGAGGAGTGAAATGCTAATATGCTATAGTCTTCTCCACTAAAGGAGAGTTACCTGAGTCACTATTATGGATCTTATCAAGGTTCAAAGTATCGACACGTATCGGCCCGTATTGGTCATACGTATCGTTCCGGGACCCTACCGATACGCCCCTATAGTGGGTGTATCGGGGGTCTGACTGGTTCAGGGGGTAGAGGAGCCCTAAACCGCCCCCCCTGAACCGGTTTCAGAAAAAAAAGTAAAAAAAAAAAATAGTATCAATTCGCCCAATACGCCCATACCGGCGTATCGGGCATATCGATATTTTGAACCTCGGATCTTATGACTATTTGGGTTGATGTTTCAATCAGCATCAGGGAGGAGTTTCTAGATTTTAGATCAACGATGGAATGACATAGTTTTATGTTGCCAAATAATCATCCTATTAGATATTACTGCACAAGTTGGTCTCCCCCTTCCTACCCCAGATTGTAGTTATAGCAATAGGATCTAGTTGCAAGTGTGGAAGTTTCAAGTTTCGTCATAAGCTTGTCAGCAGATTGGAGATTGCTTCTGAATAACAGACCCACTTTTTGAATCACATTTCAAAGTCCAAAGTTAAAGAATGTCATCCTTTCACAGTCATCATTTGAGTTGCCATCATCATTTGATTTCACCTAATTCCTTATTCTGCCTATTGATATTGCAGTCATTCTTATGATTATCCTTCACTCAACATATCAACACCCATTTCTCCTTTCTTTCCATTTGTAACAACAGAGGCAATGATCTTAACCCTTTTAGGTGGCTGTGGCTCTATCTTCTGTTCAGTCTTTAAATCTTTTGATCTCAGCATGGAGCTCACATCTGTTTCTGTAGTTCTGCCACTTTGATCTCAGAAGATTTGGATTTATGCCTCCACTTGTGCACCTAATAACATTTTTTTGATCAATAACAACATTTCATTACTTAATCACAAAAGTAATTACAGAGAGGAAGATAAACTTTCTTATCTTCCAAAAGGAGCTTAACACTCCCAAGAACAAAAAGGAAAAATTACACTTGTGCCCAAAACATTGACTCCCTCTCGACTCCTTGCTTATCTAATCCATCTGCAAAGGAGTTAGCTGATCTATTCACCCAGCTAACCTTAACTTCCATCTCTTGAACCAGCCACCTAAACTTCCTCCTCTCGTTACTGTACATCCATAAACTGCTGTTTTCTTTATTCAGCCACCCTACCACCACCTCTGAATCCCCTTCAATGATGAGTTTTCTTATATTCATTTCCTTGGCTCTTTGAACTCCTTCCATAACTGCAAAGATTTCAGCCCTGAGAGAGTCACCCACTCCAATTGGGCCGGAGAACATGGCTGAGACAAGCCCATTCTCATCCCTAAACACACCACCAATCCCTGATTGTCCAGGATTCCCCCGACTACTCCCATCAAAGTTCAGTTTTAAGAAGCCAGCCGGTGGGGGAGTCCAGGACACACACACGATTGCTTTGGTCTGGGTGCAGTTAGCAATCTCACCCCATTTCCTCAACAAATCAACCACYGTGAAATCTGTAAACAGCTCTGAAGATTTCAGCCACTGAACAACCCTTATATGAATTAATTCTCTCAGTTCTTCATTTTGTGCACCTAATAACATTAATGATGAAGGAATAAATTAGTGATCACTTCCTCTGATTCAAGCCAATTACTGACCGCTTGGCAATCTCCTTCTACTTGTAAATTGTCCAATCTGTTGATGAAACAAATTTTGAGCCTTGCAACAAAGCAAGCCACTCTTCTCTGATTGAATTACCCATGCCAACCTATTTTACTCAGATATATCAAGGACACAACTAGACAAGGTGTTGGATTCAAAATTTACAGAAACAATTAAGTGTCCAAACCATATCACACCTATTTATGGTATCCAGGTATCATAGACACCAAGTGGTTCTGAAAAACTGAGTAATATACCTGTCATCCCTGACCAGTGACCACTAACCATTCCTAGAAGCTCCTAGGTTCCCTTAATCTTGGTGGGTCATATTGTGTTGGCCTCTTATGAATTTGTTGGCCAACTAGCCTTCCTGAATTTTCATGTGCTGGGTTGTGCTTGAAGAAGATTGGGCAAGCCAGCCTTATTTGAGTTTGAAATCCTGACACCTCATATATAGATTGAAACAGTACAACCACAAATTGTAGAGGGTATATACGAATTTTGATTAAGATGGGGGTATTTTTTTGGTCTGGGCCTAATGCAGCTGTAGTGGAACCCACTAACACAACTGCATGTCTTAAGCACATGCAATAGTAGGGTGCACTTTGGGAAATAATTATAGTGGTCTGATTCATAGGATCTTTCAAATTCCCCATTTTCAAGACCCAGTGGTAATTTGATTTTTTTTTTTGTCATTTAATTATTTACATCCAAGATTTAACAATGGGTAAGGCTTGGATGATGATGATTTAACAATGGATATGGCACTGAACAGAGTGGAAGGGCATTACAGGAGTAATGTAGCCAACCCCATATAGTTGGACAAGGCTTTTATTCAGTTGAGTTGAGTTGAATTATTTACACCTAAGAAGCTAAGAGGTGGGTTGATCCCAAAAGAGATTGGGGAAGATTCTGAACCATTTCATACTTGCATTTTCTCTTTTAAGATCTTTTGTTTTATCACGATGCAATATCATTAATGCTTGTCGTAAGTAATACTTTATAATATGTCTGTCTATCTTTAAGGATAAGATAAATTTATCTTTAATAAGTAAGAAGATAACCTTTTACTGATTACAAAGAAGTTGTTAGATGCAAGAACCCGAGTTTTGTGTTCAATTCAGTTTTAAGTTATTGTTATTCTATTTATAACGTCTTAGACTCTTAGTTTTGTACTATTACTTTCATTCCAAAGCAAGTTTCCTTTTTTCTTAATGAATTCAGTTATTGAATATTGATTAGTATAAGTATGCTTCCATGGGTTCTTTTTGCTAGAGTTACTGAAATTCCAGTTTTTTCCTACAAGCTTACAATCTTTATTGGATAGAACATGCCAATGGCTATCCTTAAGGATTGAATATCCGTGGAGGTTGACCAAAATAAGTTACTGCAGCCGACCAGTAATCATTTCTTTTTGTTTTTTTCTACACAATAATCAATCCACTTCTATTTGTTAACTGCACAGTTTGCACCAATGAGAAGAAAGGAATGTACAATCCCTGAAAACTAATAGCCACCCCTAATCCTAGTTACATCAGGTGCTAGCTGGCTTTAGTTGGCAAGGTCTTAAGGAGTCAAACATGAGACTTGGGGTTCAATCCTGCCTTAATCCTAAGTCCTAACCAGTGATGACTGATGACTAACCATTTGAGCTTAGTAGCTTATCTATAAAAAGAAATTGTTACCATCCACAGCTTAAATCCTTATTGTAGAAAGATTTGGTTGGATGGACCTTAACTTGCTCCTTTTTATTGTTTTATTTCTAAGTTGTCTCTTTCTTATATTGGGCCTTTAAGTATATGGGCCATCTTTTATTTATTTTTTGTTTACCAACTCAGCTGCCCTTTGGGAGCATTCATGCAATTCCATTTACAGTTAGTATTCACAATTAATAAAACATATTGGTAGGGCTGAAGGGAGTTATAATGGACTGAACTGTTCTTCTCCCTCTTCTCTCATCTCTCTCTCTCTCTCTCTCTCTCTCTTGTGTGGCTCTGTTCTTCCTTTTGCTGTTTTTCTTTTAATATTCACATCATCTTTACTGTTCACAACTTTCTTCTCTTATCATTCTTTTGTTACGTAGAAGCCCTAATTAGCTCTCTTTTTAATTATTCCAAAGCATAAAGATCTTTAAATTTTTTCTTTTAATCCATTTAACTCTACAGCTTAAACCATGAAGTTAATCTCACCGGGGCAACAGTAATCTTATCTGCATAAATAAATTTTAATGTTAGGGGTGGTGAAAGCTATTCGATATTTTGACCCTGATCAGTTTCGTCTAAGCAAGCCAAAATATATGATTTTGATTTTTATTATCTGAGAAGGCGTACATCATGAATATCATGTTGATGTAGAAATGAGGTGTCAGACATGACAAGTCAAGAATGTCTAGAAATTTGGACCCATCCATGCATATACGCATGCATGTATCAGAGTGCATGTTGTAAAAACCAAATTTAAAAGAGTAGATATAGTGGGTTGCAGGACATAAAAATTACAAGACATTTATATGTATTTCAGAAGTGAATGTGTCAGACTGTTTTTTTAACAGAAATGTGTCAGACTTGTTTTACAACAGACCAGATTTCAATAGCAAGAATTGTTCCATATAATGTAGGTTCTAAGCCTAGGGACAGTGGCAGAAATAAAAAGAGGGAGGAATTGGTGGTTCGGGATAGACCTATTCATGGGCTGGGCTCCAGTGCTCTTGCCAAAATTTGAATGGGCCCAGCTCAAAGCCCGAGCTCGAAATAGTGTAAAGTCAAGCCTGAAGTCTGGCCCGTGAACACATCTAGTTGGGAAAAAAATTTAGTTTGCAGTTCAACATGATTTGTGGACAGGTTGCATACATGATAGAGCACTTTACAAACTTCTTCCATCATATTCCATTCTTTTGTTGTGGAAACCTTCATAGACACGAGGATAGATCATGATCCTTCTTACACCCCTTTTGTAAGACTCATTTTGGGAAAAATATGATCTTTCAGTAAAATCTGCTAGGTTAAGAAATGATCATTTGACTGATTTTTTTTTTTTCTTTTTTGCATTCTATTCAATTGTTATATTACCATTGAGATATTCATTTGAAAATGATGACATTTGGAATCTATTACCAGCCAACAGCAAAGTGATGAAACTCCAATGGTGTGGGAAATGCTCCTCTACATCTATATCCTCTACTCGCCAGATTGGCACTACAGGAGCACGATGCCAACCTTTTTATTCCTTTATGGTGCTGTCTTTGCCATTGCCCATTCACATGTGCGTTTTGGCATTGGCTTCAAGCTGCATTATGGGATGCTCTGTCTGCTCTGCATCCCCCGGATGTACAAGTACTACATCCATACTGAAGATTTGTCCGCCAAGCGGCTTGCGAAGCTTTATGTGGGAACCTTATTCCTGGGGAGTCTGTGTTGGCTGTCTGATCGTTTTCTCTGCAAAAAGATTTCTCACTGGCATGTTAACCCACAGGGTCATGCACTGTGGCATGTCCTCATGGGTTTTAACTCCTACTTTGCAAACACGTTCTTGATGTTCTGCCGTGCCCAGCAACGGGGATGGGCCCCAAGGGTCGTCCACTTCATGGGATTCTTCCCTTACGTGAAAATTCAGAAACCAAAAGCTCAGTGAAAGTGTGAAACAACTAAACAAGAGGTGGTAGCATAGAAAGGTGATGGAGAAATAGCTCCTCTTATAGGGAGGTACTTGTATGGTTTTCAGCAGGTGGCATCAAGAAGCAATCACTTTTTTTTTTCCCTTTTCCAGGATAGGTGTAAATGGTGGTGAAATATTGATGTGGTTGATAGTGCTACCGGTGCTTGGCGATGTACAATATTTATACTCTGGTTGATGGAGATGAGATCAGGTGGATCTTGTTAGGTTTATTTTGGACATTTTCATTTGTTTTCTTCTAATTTTTCAGAAAAAAAAAGTAGAAAACATGTGTGGATCTAACGTTTTGATTCAGTGTTGACAGGCACAATCTGTCAATAATTTTGATTTGTTTTATGGTCTAATATTTGACGCTTTCATTTGTATTGAAGTGATTTCAGGTTCTATTTTTATTGTTTTTGGTCATTGTAGAAGCATGTGAACTCATTTGATTCCTCTGTAGAGTTTCTAACTTGCGCAATATGAAGGGCCATTATCTGCTTGTCTGGATTCTTGAGTTAACGTGATTGGTTTATTTCGTCTGTAAATTCGATTCCTGTACAGTCATCATTTCCACCTGCAATTGCAAATGCTTGTTTGGCTTTGAATTGACAGAGTTGGTATTCCTGCCTCGGCTTCAGTGCAATCTCCGTTAGAACACCATTCGAACACTTTTACAGCCTTGCATTGGGAGCATTTTCGTATTTTTATGATTTATTTTATGGGTCCCAATGCAAGGCTATAAAGACTGTTCGAATGAGGCTTGCGATTCAGTTATATATTATATGGTTTCCAGCTTCTAGTTCATTCTTTAATAATCTCAAGACGGATGTGAGTTTGGCTTCAGTCAGGGCAAAGTCCAATCGAGCAGCTTTTACTACTTGTGTGTTTTATTTCACAGGGAGATATTCCCGATGTAAAGTTGCAAAAAGTTGTTAGAATGGTTGGACACACATTTGTCTTAATAGAAGTCAATCTCAACTGATGCTATCCATGATTAATTACCGCTAATATGGCTTGGCACATTTCTGTTATGATCTTGAATCTGCTACCCACACGAACGCTACCCCAATTACCCATGAATGCACTGCAAACGTACATTGGGAACATATTTTGTACTTGTGTTTTGTCATTTACAGGGAGATTTCATATATATGGTTGTGGTGTCATGTGGGAAGCAGATTTAAACCGTGGCTATGGATGTTGGTGTCATGGCCCATATGACCATGAACCTGTGTTTAGATACCCCCACAGCCACATCCTATCCTACCCTGTATTGAGAACATCTTCTCGTTAATAATTATAAATACGGGAGATGTTTCCGATGTACAGCCAAGACATGCTGTGAAGTCAGTGCAAGTACTGCATGATCTTTACGTTTGTATATAGGAGATTGGATTCAGTCCTCACGAGATTGTGTTTATATCATTTTCAATCTCTTACAGTCATGCATATAGGAAATATTTTTGTACTTCTATACTTTTTGTTTATATGGAGAGATATTCCAATGTAATTATGCAAGGCTGCAAGGGACTGTGCCAACAGTGTGAACATAGTTCAAAGGGACTCTTACCTATGTTTAGTTTGAAGGAAAGAGTAGGGAAAGGAAGGGAAATGCAAGGAAATCTATGCAAGATTTGTAAAGGTTTTCCTTCCTTTCCTTTCCTTACTTTTTCCTTCAAGCCAAACATAGCCTTAATCAATGTGATCAAAGGCACCAAATCCTTATGAAAAAACTTGTGCCCCTTTCTCCTACTTAGTGCCTGTTTGGGAGGACTTTTATGATGCAACTTATGGCATTTTGAGCTATGCCGTACATGAAAATCTCTAAAACTGTGTTTGGTGAAAATCCAGAAAGCCAATATAAGCATTTTGAACATCAGAATCGTGGCTGTAACATGAAACTACCATGAATAGATTATTTGGAAGATGAGTGTTCAACCAAAGCGGCTCAGTTAACGTAGTTCGCCTCAAGTGCATAAGCATCCCAAACGGGGCCTCAGTGTCATCCCTTGCTTCTTGGTTCAATGACCCATTAGCAGAGATGGTCATTTCATCTTTTGTCATAACGGAAGCATGGGATCAAACCCAAGTAACTGCAGCCTCTCTACTGGACCCAGTTTTCCCAAGAGAAAATAAATAAATTTTTGGGCCCCCTCTCATCTTATCGGTTGGTTTGAGAGGATTCCAAAAGTCTAATGTGGATTGGTTTGCGATATGGCCGGCCCCAGTTGATTGGTCATTGGTGGGCTGCTCGATTTCCTCAAGTAAGTGGAACTTCAGCAAATCAGAAACATATCCAGATCGCAGGATGATGGGGAGTTGGGGACTAGGGAGTGAAAAAGATAAGTATAGAGAGAGAGAGATTTTATTCCTGAGACAAAACTGAAGATGGCTGGCCTTAGTTTCTGTGCGGCCCTTTCTCCTTCAAGGTAATTTTCCCACCATTCGATTTTATTTACCTTTTTTTTTCTTTTTCTGTAGTTTTTTTGCAATCATCCTTTTCTGTGGTTCACATTCCTCAAAATATATCTGAATTCCTTTTACATTTTCGTTCTGTGTGTATGTGTGTTATGGGTAGAGGTGTTAGAATTACTCAATGACAAGTTGACAACATTTTGGTTTCTAATAATTACTTGCGGAACTTTGCAATTTCATAGTTTCCAGAATATTTAGGTGGTACCTTTTTGGTTGTCCTCATTCAATGTAAATCTGGACAAACATCAAATCAAAATATTTAAGCTCTGCAACTGGATAACTGTTGTTTTTTTTTCCCTTCATAATCATAAGTTTCAGAATTCGAGGTCCTTAGTGCAGAAAAGTGTGTATGTTCTTTATTTTTAATGAATAATTGGCAACAACTATTTGAGAGCAGCAGAATGACGGGTGGTCTTTAGCTCAACTTTTCCCCGAAACAACAGCTTTCCAAATTTGAGTTTTGATAGATGTGTCCACCAAAAAAGCTTTCCTTTTTCCTAGTTCTTGTGAGCAATTTTATGAAGAATAACACGTATTAGGTTTTAAATTATTCTAAAGTAACGGCAAAAAGTCCAGCAATCTTTTTATTGGAGTGGCTTGGATGAATACAAGAAACTTCTCATCGGAACCAATACGATTAGATGAATGTAGGATTGATATTTACTCGTGAGAATTTTTGGCTCTTAATCATAATTATGATGTACATTTACATTTTTGAAATGGAGAATTGTGTTAGACATCATGCATTTGAGGTATGAAGTTAGCCTATGCAAGTTTCAAGCAATGTGGTAATGGGAGCTTGCTGTTCTCTACAATATGGTCCAATGATTGCTAAATTCAGATAGAGGTTGAGGATGGTAGAGACCATAGGGTGGCCAAATGGTCGTACAGGTCCACTCTGTGCTCAAAAACTATAATTTAAATTAGATTTGGGAAATACATTAGGAAACTTATAGTCTCAAATAAGTTTAGGATAGATGCTTGGTTATGTCAATTTGCCTGAGTTCCAAGTAAGTTTCTGAATTTTTTGGTAGTAACTCAGTTTCTTAATATTACCTGTGAGAGATCATTGCCATGCACAGGATATGCTCTAATTAGATGTCTCCCCTCACTGATAAAAATAGAAATGTTACCTCACCCATTTTTTGAAGTTTATTCTTTGTGGTATAAGGCAATAAGGATATCTGAATATCAGTTATCTATCCGGAACCATGCATATTTTTTCTGTATCAAATTAACTGCTGAAGGATAGAGATTGTAAAATGAGGTGAATATATTGCTGGATAATGTTATCCTTCCCCCACCCATTTTACTTGTTTCTGCTCCTGCATGTACCTTGCAAAGCTAATTGCTATTCATCAAGTTGTCTGGAAACTATTTGACAGAGTTACATCTGTTGTGTAATTAAGGTCTGCTGCTGCTGCTAATCAGCTGGAGAAAGCAGGCTTCCAAAGTATATCATGTATAACATCGGGTCTTCAGTCAGTAAAGCCAGGTTAAGGGAAATTAATACTTGATCTCCATCAATTATATTTATCTTCTATTTTGAGAATCTCTTTCTGTAGCATGAAGATGAAGGATGTTTCTTTTGCAGGTACTTTTGATGTTGTTGGTTCCACTGAGCTGCAAAATGCTGGTAAGGCTGGTTTAGTGACTGTTCAAGGAAAGATTTCGGCTGTTCTTGGGACCATGCTGATTTGTGAGTCCATTCTGTGCTTCCAATATTCTCAGTATCTTAGTTAAGCTTTGTCCATATATAACTTCTTTGCTCACATTGTCAAATTCACAGGTGCATATCTTTTCATAACTTTCTTTCCGGAACAAGCAGAGAAGCTATTTCAACTGGTTCCTGCAAGTTAGCTCTTGGAAGACTACAAGATTTTGTGGTTCTGTTTCCTTATATCCTGACCACAGGGAAATACAGTTCTTGATGGTTCTCAACTTTAAAAGTCCAACAGAAGGGAGAAGGAAACCATGTGAAAATGGTCTTGACCTGGTAATGTGCAAAGCTATCCAATAGTACATCACTTCTTGAGAATTCTAAATGTGCAAATCACATTCTGAGTTTACAGCACTATTCCTCACTCCTCTTTTCAATCATATTGAACTTAATAAACTTTCCATTCTCATACTTTTGACACCTGGTAACCCACATGGGATCTAATCATCTTTCAATTTTTTCTTGCAATGCAAGAGCCTATATTGAGAAGAAACTCAGCCATTGTGAGCTGAAGATCCAGACTGCCTAAAATATCCTTATGAATTACATAACATTCAAATTGTGCATGTTCCAAGTTCTGCTCTACTTTTTACAAATGCGAGTAATATTTGGCACCAAAATTTCTCTTATTTGGGGATATTTCTATACAGGGCTGAAGGGCATAACAGTGACCTACCATGGAGCATGCTGCATGCTAGACAGGGAGAGAGGGGTGCGAATTATTTTGGACACATTACAGAGTTCATACTCCATTCTGAGTTGTAACATTACTAGCTAAATAGCTATCTTTATGTAGGTTGTGAAAGCAATTCGTATAAAAAAAACCATTTAATTGTGAGCTCATTATTCTTATACAACAATCCTGAAGCAGACAGACAAGTGAACCAATTTGGAGTCCCGTGGCACATGTTTGCCTTTGTACATTATGGATGAGTTAGGCAGGGGGATCTAATGGAATTTTAATTGTCACTTCTATTTGAGGTATTTTAATGGTCAATTAAATTCGTTTGAGCCTTCATAAGCGGAACATTTTTGGGTGCAATCAAATAGCAACCATGCACCACTGTTCAAGCCTTCAAGGTTGTGGGGTTTGAACTTCGAAGTGTTTTTGTTGTTGATTGTCATTTGTTTTTTGTTTCTACCAATCAAAAGGGATTATTATTTGTATGAACAGGAGGCAAATAGCCGGTAGTAGGTAAAGCCGGGAACGGGATTTAAAACTACAATAAAAAATTATGCATTGTTTTGTGTGCCAAGACATTTCGTTTTCTCGATTTTCGACATTGTAAATTAAATACGAGTGTTAACTCCCAACAATGTCCCAATGGGCCATTCATCAGGTACATCTTGCCATGAAGGCCAAAAGAGATATACTCAATGCGTATCCGGTGGACTGTTGGGACCATGTGTTGGGATTAGATCCGAACTTGTTCCAAACACCCACAACATCTCACTTGGTGAGGAATGAAATAGGGCAAGCATAGGATATGGTGATCCAAAGGCTTATTCTCCAATTGGACCACCATATCCCATGCTTGCCCTATTTCATGCATCACTCGAGATGTTGTGGGTGTTTGGGTAAATAAAGAAAGTTCTAAACACCCACATGAATTTTCTTTTTTTTTTTTTTTTCTTTTCATTGCCCTTTTTTCTTAAACCCTAATTTAATTTCATATTTTCTTTCTTCGTAAAAATTACCTTGAAAGAAGCGATGGTTTAGCAAGATGAGAAAAGGAATTGTGGAGCGGTGGAGCCTATCATGAACAAGATGATTTAACAGTACAACAAAACAATCAAAACTAAGGTCTCTTAGAAACCTAGTAAAAGAATTGGAGTTCTGATTGCGAGTCCTTGTAGATTTTCAACAATCATACATCACTCACAACAATCAATCATCGGAGATGTATTCTTATCGTTTAAATAAATAAGAAAATGGTAGTTTAGAGATTTAAAAATTTTTAAATAGTCGAATAAAAATCTTTTTCGGAGATAATTGACAGAATGCTAATGGAAGGGAAGGGGGTCTTTGTCATTGACCCCATATTACAAGGGTCATTGTAATTTCCCTTATTTTTTTTAGTTTATATTATAGGAAAAACGACATGCCTCTTGTATATGATGATCACAGTTTTTGGTTGCAGAAGACACGCCACTGTAAGCACATTAAGAGGGTGTATGGAACCATGGGAGTGCCACATGGGCACCATTTCAGCATTTCCCCCATTATGTGAATCCGTACACATAGGGACTTGCAAAAGTAGGCTTCGATTTATCTACATGCCTACCGTTGGGGGAAGCTTCATTTTAGCGAGATTAAATCAGCCCCCCACAAGACTGCACCCCACAACGTCCCACGGCACATCCCCGCGATCATCTCTTGATGATAGCACCAGAAATGATGTTATCATCCAGAGATGTTCCGAACACATGACGGGGATGTGTTGTGGAACGTTGTGGGGCACAGTCTTGTGGGGGCTGATTTGAATTCCATTTTAACACTTCACTGAATGGGTAGGCGTTTTTTCACTATTTTGTTGATGTGGCGCCTAATGACATCTAAGGCTACATTTGGATGTGATGTAAATTTTACATTGGTTCAGTTTTGTATGCATTTGGAAAGAGGGTGTAATTATTATCGACATAAAACTACACTCTGGTTTAGTTTTGCTTGCGTTTGGATGGAGTGTATTTTTACGTCGATAATAAATGTAAAACCTCATCACCTTTAAAGTTTTATGTCGATGAAAAAACTACATCGGTTTTATCGATGTAAAACTTTAGACTCTTCCACCCATCATTATTTTCAAAAAAGCAATGATCATTTTCTGGTTCAGTGTAAAACATCATTAGTATATTTTTACATTAATGACATTTTACACTAATTCCAAACGCAACCTAAATATCAATAAACGAGTTCATTATTGCTTTTCTAGGTTTTTCAAACAAATCAAATACAAAACGTTTCTAAACACACACTAAATGAGCACTTTAATTTTTTTTACACCCGTCTCTTGAAATACCCCCAACCTACCCTTTAAAAACCTTAAAAGACAACATTTAACTGTTGTCAAAAGATTTAAAAAGTGCTCAATGAAGCCAACTGGATCCGGTCCCCGTTTAATCAGCCTTGGGTATATGTTTTTGGACGGCTTAGATGCAAGGAGAGAACGCACTGATCGGCCCATGACTACAAATTACAAAACTCCCGAATAGTTGGATACTGGATATGCAGGCGGTTGCCGCGGTTCAAGACTCTTTTTATCCATGAGTATTGTCCGGTTTGCCCTAGTCTCTCTTTTTCTATTCTTCCTTTTATATTTGATCAATTATTCCACGTTCGTTTTCCTGAGCCGGGAGCCGGAATACCAGACTCAGAATTCCTTCCCTTCCACTCTCGTTAGGAAAATGCATCTGAATATGTTGGACGCGACTCTGTCGAGCTTCGATCAGGTCTTTGAGAGGTTCAAATCCGACGCACCGAAGCATCAAGTCAATCTCATCCTCTTCTTAGCCGATAAGGACCCCTCCACCTCTCTCAGCTGGTGCCCTGGTACTTTTTTTCTTCTTCTTCTTCTTTTTGACAACCCTTAAGCGTATTTTCTAACATGCATTTATAGTAGTTAATACCTTGATAGATATTTGATGAGCGTTCTCCAATTCCTCGAGATGCGTGAGGAAAGAATTCAAGGAAGGTTAAATTGCAATTGCGTGAGATACACAGATGAATTTGAATTATAGATTCATTCATTTGATATGATGTAAAAGAATATGTTATTTCGTGTTGTTTTTTTATCCTTAGATCATGGAGTGTTTGAAGCCTGGAAAAGATATAAATTGGATGCCGTGAACTGTTAGATTTTCTTGAAGTAATTTTGGCTAGCTTTGAACAGTTGCTTTTTTGGTTGGATTGGACTAGTTTGTAAACCTTCCAAAGTGCACATTCTTTTCTATGGTTGCACCTGAGGAAAACCACCAAGATTAGAGCATGGGTTAATCCCAATACGTATGGAAACCTTGGTCGCAAAGTTTGATCAGTCTGGTAAGAAGATTGAATATGGATTTCCAAATTTGCAATTCACTTCAGAACTGTTGGGATTTGATTCCTGTTAAATCCTATGTCTGATCTTCTAATGCTGGACTTGTGCGAAAAGTAAGAAAAACCTAGGCAAATAAAGGGTGGGGCTTGGGGTGATAAAGGTCAAGATGTAAGGATTTTACTGACAAAGGAGTAAATAGGAAAAATTATAGATAGAGAAGGTGAAAAATGCCTGCAAGTGAGAACCATTTATATTAGTGAGGTCCTGGATCTCTATTTTTTGATAATAAGATGATGAAGCAAGAATTCCCCAGCATCTTCATTGGAATGAGAAGCACAGAACATCAACTATCCCCAATACATCAGTGCTAATAAGATGCAATTCAAAAATACAATTTATTATAACTGGATGAACAATTTAATCTCCATATGGGAAATTAGTTCTGAAATAGATTTCAGTCAAATCCATATAATTTATGAATGTATCCCCTTTGGTTTCTTGACAAGAAAGGTTTTCTCCATTACTTCAAATGCATGAGATATCAGATATGTAGAATCAGCTTGTTGCAGTTGTACCTATTTCCTACATACCAACCTGCTGAAGTGTAGGGATATTTACTCCTATTCTTATTATCAGTAAATTCCTTTGGTCGCTTTTACTGATTGAAAAACACATGATGTGATCATATCATAACTGGTTTTGGTTGATCCATATCCACACATTTGTTGTTTTCGTAAGTCAGTATATACTTTATTGAGTTAATTAGTTTGAGTTAGTGAGAGATCCGCTTTAGCACACTAGTAAGTCTAATTTTGACGTGTGAAACTCTCACTCCTTGCTTTTTGATAAGCTTGCTGGATAAGGTCAGTTTATCCTGTATTTCCAATCTCAAGCTCACAAAATTCTCTTTTATTTCCAATTTTCTCAACAGCCAAACAGTAGGAAATAATTTTGGTTTTCTCCTACACAACCAAAAAAAGAGAAAAAAAAAAAACTCACATTGTTAGTTTTCACTTTTCTATCTCGGTGAAATCTTCTTGGCAATCAATAAACTATTCTTTCTGGGTGGTAAGTCAATGAATTATGTGACATGAAATGGCAATCAATAAACCAGTGTTTTTTGGGAGTTAAGTGAGACTTCAAGTAATCCTTCAATAAGATTGCACAGAGAAAACATCTTTTGTTTTTAACCTTTTTAGGGCATTTTTTGAGGAAACATGAATTCATTATAATAAGTTTCAAGTGTTTTCTCTCTGAAATTATTAATATTAGATTCTATTTATATGAGTAATCTGTTTTTTTTTTTGGAATTTTATTTATTATTTCCCCTGATTTTGCAGATTGTGTAAGAGCTGAACCTGTAATATACAAGAAGCTGGAAGCTTCAGCTACTGATGTTGTCCTTCTTAGAGCTTTTGTGGGAGACAGACCAACATGGCGGAATCCGCTCCACCCATGGAGAGTTGACTCAAGGTTCAAACTCAAGGGAGTTCCAACCCTTGTTCGTTGGGAGAATGATGCAATAACAGGCCGCCTTGAAGATGATGAAGCCCACCTTGAACACAAAATTGATGGCCTAATTTCTGGCAAATAAATTCTCTTTATTATCAAGTATCAACAACTTATTTCCTAGAGGATGTCTTAGAAACTCATTATTTTGCTAATCTAGACAGAGGATTTCACTGGAAGTAATCATACATGATTCAAGGGCCTATAGTTTAACGATGGACATGGCATCGAATAAAATTGAATGGTGAGACAGGGTATGTGTAGCCAAATAAAATTCTTAAGAAGGGGTAAATAGATGATCAACTTACTCTTCTATCATATTTGTTTATCATATCAAATGCATGCATCTAGGGTTTAATTCCAAGTTAGTTGATCCAAATTCTTTGCAATGCAATGTACATGTTTGATTTATTTTGAAAAAAAATTCCTAATCAAATCAAGCATGGAGCTTCCCCAATCTATGTCCGTCTACGACTTATCTACAAATTCTTTATTTGTCTCAAAATCTATGGTTTCTATTGCATTCTGATAAAAAGTAATGATTAACATCCTTGCATAATTGAACAGAATAGCAAACCTTAGTTGAGGCATTTTATGCCATTTTTTGTGAGATTGATGAATAAATAAGTTTTATATTTTTCTTAAAAACGATGGAGTTATAAAGATGAATGACTAATAACAAGCACGCCACCTTAGTCATAAGTCTTAGCTCCTCTTCTCATGTATTCACCTCGTAATATTGCTTATACCTTCATTTAAAAGACTGGTTACACCTTGTATGCCAACCAAAATGGAGTTTGGTCATGTAGCTAAGCTCATGGGTGTTTTTTATGAAGATTAACAGTCAAAATGTTCATTAAGCATTACGACATACTTCAATCCTTTGTTGCAATCCCTTATTGTTGCTAAAAGCACCCTGTTCATTAGAAAAGCTTGATGACATAAAAGAAGAATGAATAATGATTTTGGTGGTTGTTAACGCAAGATTTTACTTGATTAATTGAAATTTAGGATCAAATATGAAAAACTGAAGAAGCAAAATTGAACTGTCACTATTCCACAGAACTACATCTCAAGGAAGTTCTTTTTGATCTTCACAGTAAAAGCTACATTGGTCTCAATTGCAATGCATATAAAATACATCTTTTTTTGGAGTTCCAAATTTCCTTCTGACAACACTAAGCTTTGTTTACACGAATTTGTTGGCCTTCAAGTAACTGCAAAAAAGAGGCGCATAGATGTTAAAATGTATAAAAGATCTGAAATATCTACAATGGTCAAGGTAGAAAGAAAACCCCCATCCATTTTACACTACCTGATGCCAAACTTGACATGTGTGTCTGTCAGTCAAGAATAAGATCAATTTAAGAATACCATTTCTTGATTAGCCCAGAACTGAAAAATTTGCAAATGAATGAAGGGAGGAACATTCCATTGGTGCATCACTCAGGCCAGGGCAGAACAGAATTGATCACATGCCATATATATAGCTACATCTAGATGGTTCTAGTGTTCAACCAAAAGGCCCTGTACCTTCTCATGAGTAAAACCACAAGGACTCTATAGATGAGTATGTTCTTTTTAGCAGAAAATTGCATATAGGCAATGCATGTTCATGCTCCAAAAACGTATTACTGACCTTTATGATAATTATTAAATAAGAATGAGAAATGCTTAATCATATTCATTCTATAAAAAGTTGAACCATGTATTTAAATTCAACTCTAACTGATTTTTGTAATATTAAATGCATTGCAGTTAACAACAAAAAACTTAACACAGGCAGCAATAAACTTACAGCATTATTAAATGATGAGATTGCAGCTTCTACATCCTCTTCTGAAGAGAAAGAAACAAACCCAAAGCCACTGGATTTTGAGGTCCCTGGTACACGTGAAACTTTTGCACTAAGAACCTTTCCCTTCTCAGCAAAGAATTTGCTGAGAGTGTCTGAGGTAACTGTCTTTGCCAGGTTACCCACATAAACCTTATAGGGACTATCAACAAACTGGGATTCCTCAGCTTGAAGGAGGGATAAATCCACATTTGGCAAAGGCTTTTCAGTTATATTCACTTTGATCTCACGTCCCTCAATTTGCTGTTATCCAATTCACAGAAAACCAAACAGATACACTCCTTAGTTCCTTGATACGAGGATTCTCATGAAAAAAGAATGGTATTTGTCACAGTTCATCATCTATCTAAAGGGTTACAGCTTACTGTGCCATTCAACTTTTCAATAGCTGCATTTGCATCATCAACAGTCTTCATTGTAACAAATCCGAAACGACGGCTTCTTCCTGAATACTTGTCATACATCACCTATGCACAATATGAGGAAGAAAACTTACCACAAAACCAGAAAGATCAGACAGAATGGTCTTTTGCATAACTGCTAGTCAGCTACATGGCAGTGATGAACAAGTCAAGCCTATGGTTAATCGATAAGATGGACTCTTGCACACTTAACATTTGAAATTCAAAGCATTAAAAATGGGTGGCTGATCTATTTCAGTGTCAATCCAAGAGCAATGGTGATAGTTAGGATTTACATCCACATATGACTTGCATGTAGTCATTATACATATAGTTTTTTTCATAAGTGAAATCTTGTAAAGAACACCCTCTTTTGGATTTAATTGTTAAAAAAATTAAAAGCAAATAGAATACAAAATACCATCAAATTATTACCAAAAACAACCATCAAATAGGTTGCATGTTTCAAAAAGTCATTTTCACTTTGAGAACATTGGACCCATTTTTTTCAACCACTCCACAGATTTTTTCAACCACCAACCAAACACCACTAGTGGGTGTGTTGTGTTCAGTTAATGGTTACTTTTGTTTTTCATCTGTTCTTAGAACACACCATGACTTACCATGAAAATCACATATGGACTGCAAAGAATTGCAGGATGAGCTCTATGCTGACCCTCAAAGCAATGCAAATACCATGGGCAATAAATTCCTAACTGGCCCTCTCTCCATGGTTTCTTCGGCAGAAATTTACCCTCACTAATGCTTAATTTGTCAACATATTTGCTTATGGGATGTCTATATCTCATTTTATAGGAACCAATTTCATAAAGTTTTTCATGGTAGTAAAGACTCCAAAACATCATAATCTAAAATTATAGAATGAATTTTCTGGTTGTCAAGTAACAAATAGAATTGAATTTGTTTTTCAAAATCCTGAAATTAATACGTTAATTTCTTATTATTAATAACCAGAAATAGCTCTTTTAAGAGGGGAACTTGTGCTCTTAAATACGATAACGAAATCATATAATTGCAGTTTTGGGCGATTAGGCAGTACTAATCTTTAGCTTTCATCCATTTTCAAGTATCCCTGTATCAATGTAAGAAGAACTTCTATATTTTTGGTAATGCAAGAGCAAACCAGCAAAACCATATATATAAATTCAGCTTATGATACCTCAGCTCTCTCGACTGCGCCGTGTTCTGAGAAAATTTGTGTAAGTTGTTCGTTGTTGACGGTCCTCGGAATGTTTCCCACATACAATTTCCTCGCTGTTTCAGATGGCGTATCCTGCGTTAATACTTCTTGAGCAACAGCAGAAATTCTCAAGGTCATTCTACGGTTCAAGTGGTAATTAGTAGCAGCGAAGCCATGCAAATTGCAAAAAGAAGCTGCTTTGGGTAGTTGAAGTGAACAAAGCTTTGAAAATTGCGTGAGAGCTCTAGTAGATTTTGAAGGCTGTGGAAGAACGTTAGGAGATAAGAGGGAAGAGATTGCAGCCATTCTTTTCCTTTTTCTCTTTGCAATTACCCAAAATTAGGCTTCAAAGAAACAAAATTCTAGGGCTTTGCATTCTGCAAGATAAACAAACGTAGGTTTTGCTGTGGAGACTGGGCGAGGTGAATGAGAGTACTTTATCCAGTTTCGCCCTTATGCAATAGCGGAAAAAAATAAAAATATCAGGATGCCTATTTCTATTGTGCACCATGTGCGTAAGGCGCACACTTTTAAGGCGGGCTCGTGATTTAATTGATGTCAGAGGGGCACATCACATGAAGATACAAGATGGAATATTGGGCCTCAAGAAGATTCCAATCAGGTATCAAAAGAGTGGAATATGGTCCACTCCCATCGCTCAGATTTTGGACGGTGTTATTGATGATGGGTGACACTGACACGTGTGATGAAAGTACTAACTTTTAAATTGAAGTATATCAAATTCCCATGTATGTGTGAAGCACTAAATAATTTCTTCTGGTGGAAAAAAAGGAGGGAGACTTATGCCCTAACTTGGCTCGAGCTTGAGCTCGCACTCGCATGGACAATTGGACATAGCCCGAGATGAGATTGGTGCCGATCGGTTCTTAGAAACGCCGGTGAGCTTCTTCTCCTGCTGCTAAAGTAGTTCAGATCCATGGCTGAGTTCTATGTCTGAGGCATTGGGCAGACTTGAAGCTTAAGTCGTGAAAGAATTCATTCCTGAAACTTATTGATTTCTACCATCTTTTCCATCTGCGATCGATCTTTCAGGAAGACTTCCATGGAGGTTGGAGGTAGCAGTGAAAGTCCAGAAGAACCGAAGAAAGGAAAATCCAGGGCGACTAAAAAGGCCAAGGAAAGCGTTCTAAAGCAGAGTTAGTTTTCGTGCCAGAGAAGCTCTTCCTGTTCTTTATCTTTTAAATTTGTTTTCATTTTGTGCTTAATTAGTTTGTTGCTTTATGCAGAATCACCTGCGGAGTTTTTTGCTGAGAATAAGAACATTGCAGGATTTGATAACGTCAGTTTTTTCTGTCTTTGCAGATTCTTGATGACATTTCTGTTTTAATGTGCTTATTAGTTGTTGATTACATAGATAATTTTTATATTCTTTCGCTTCATCACTTCATTTTCTCACAAACTTGAGTGCTAACTGGGATAGATTGATGCGGAAGTAACTTAGTACTCAATTTCGATTAAATGGTGTTGGTTTGAACTGTTGTGGATTTCAGCCGGGGAAATGTCTTTACACGACCGTCAGAGAACTTGTTGAAAACTCCCTTGATTCGGCAGAATCCATCTCTGAGCTTCCTGTGATAGAGGTAACAATGTAAGTAATTATGCATGTCCTTTGCATACATAAATTGAGCATATCCACGTGTGTAGTACTACTGTAGGTTCATACAAATATGCGTTGCTGTTATCAATGCCTTTTTGCTTTAACAGTGTCTATAATAGAACATTTAGGTTGGTTTTTCTATGACAGAGAGGAGATAGGGAAAAGCAGGTTTAATTCTATGATTGGTCTTATTGACCGAGAGCGTGTTGATGAGGAACTATATGATGATTATGAGTCAGCTAAGGCTCGTGAGGTATTTGATCTGCATCCCAAGTTGTTTCTGCTTTTTTCTGTAAAACTTGAACTTGGAGATGACCATGGTTGGATTTCAAAGTTGAAAAGAAGATAAGAGAAAAAAAAGGAAAAAAGAACACATATGTGCTTTGTTATTCTGTTATTCTTCATATATGTTTTCCTCTATTGCTGCGTTCTTGTAGAAACGCCTTGCCAAGGAGGCTCGCATTCAGGAAATGCAAGCAAAGAATGCTGCCCTTAGGAAGAAAGTTAAAGAACCTGCAGCTCCAAAGGGCACAAAGGGTCGGGGTGAGGCCTCATTTTTTAGGGTGACTTGTAAGGTGTGATTCACATTCACTATCCACTACAGCCCTTTCATATCCAACATTTAGAGATTTAATCTAATTAGGAAAGATACAAGTATTGAGAAATTATTTAGCTTCAAAAACTACATATAAATGCATGATAAAAGCATATTACATGGGATACCCATACCTATGTCCTATCCATATCCAGAATTTTAGGGAATGGAAAGTCATATCCTCACTTCCCATATCCAAGTCCATCTTTGTATATGGGCATCATAATATAGTGTTCCATTTTTATTTTAGAACTATACTAGTGGAGGGGGCCCTACATTGCAGGGGCTCGCTCATAAACTATCGGGCTTGAGCTCGATTTGAATTAGAGACTTGAGCTCAAGCTCGAGCTCGACTAAAATCAAAAGCTTGAAAGTTCGAGCTCGGCTACCTTTGATTGTAGGTCTCTCAAGCAGCTGAGGTTCTGAGCCGAGGTCTCCCTCAATTGCTGAGGTGCCAAACCGAGGTCTCCCTCAACTGCTGAAGTGTCGAGCTGAGGTTTCCCTAGCAGGCGAGGTGTCGAGCTAAGGTCTCCCTTAGTTGACAAGGTGTCAAGATGAGGTCTCCCTCAGTTGGCGAGGTGCTGAGCTGAGATCTCCCTCAGTGACTGAGGTGCCGAGCTGAGGTATCCCTCAGTGGTGGAGGTGTTGTCTAGCTTGAGCTCGATTCGAATTAGAGACTTGAGCTTGAGCTTAGCTCGGCTCGAACTCGACTACCTTTGATTGTAGGTCCCCTAGAAGCCGAGATGCCGAGCTGAGGTCTCCCTCGGTTGGAGAGAGAGTGGCATTCTTGTAATTTATAAGGAGAGAGAGATGGCATTCTTGTAATTTGTAAGAAAAAGAGAGAGAGAGTTGGTAGGAGAGAGTGGCATTCTTGTAATTTGAAAGAAAAAAAGCAAGAGAGAGAGAGAGAGAGTTGGTAGGAGAGAGTGGCANGCATTCTTGTAATTTGAAAGAAAAAAAGCAAGAGAGAGAGAGAGAGAGTTGGTAGGAGAGAGTGGCATTCTTGTAATTTGAAAGAAAAAAAGCAAAAGAGAGAGAGAGAGAGTTGGTAGAGAGTGGCATTCTTGTAATTTCTAAGAAAAAAAGGCAAAAAAAACTGTTAGATTCCATTTCCTTCATCCTCATGCCTTCTTACATACACATTTCAGCTTAATATATTTATATAGATGATTGCACATGATCAAATCCAAATCACTGTTGGTATTGACATTTGGTTTTAATAGGATAATGGAAGAGGAATGCCACATGATGACATCCCAAATATGTTTGGACGAGGTCTGAGATTATTTGCTAGAACTATTTCTATCTGGTGTATTTCTCTTCAGATTGAGCTTGAACCTTCAATATGCTTTTAACCATTTCACTTGATTATGGATGTGCAGTTTTATCTGGGACAAAATATGGCTTAAAGCAAACACGTGGAAAATTTGGACTTGGGGCAAAGATGGTAAGGCTTGATTTAATTTATTTTAGATTTTTATGCTTGTGTTAATTCATGTTTCTTGTAGAAACAATTCTTTCTTGATGTCTCTCTGTTAGTTCAAACTTTTCTGAAGGGGTTTTTACATATTTCACTAACATTTTGTCAATTTGAAGATATGCCATTATTACCCTACTACCCTAAGGAGTTTCTGTTGTGCCTTAGCAACCAGCTCATGACAAACATATTTACATGTATATTCAGGTGTATGGTTTGTATTGTTGCTCTAGTGCATTTCTCCCTCTGAGTTGGAATACATATTTTCTTCAACTCCTCTGTGGCCAGCACAAAGTTCAGCAATCAATTATTCTGTTTGTATATAACCCCTTATTTTCAATTACTGATCATACCTTACAATCATACTGGTACTCATTTCTAGAAAAAAGAGGGAAGATCATTTGGTAATGTATGAGTGCTGCTGATCTAAGACTGAAAAGAAATGCAACACTAGGATATTCTCTGACAAGAAGCAAAAATTGAAAACATTGATAGAACTGATAACTGAAAGGATTATTAATCGGCTCTGTACTAAGGTCATATAGTTCAGCACCAACATATAATGAGAGGATGGCATTGTTCATTGTGCAGATGTATGATCAACTAGAAGCGCATCTGCCATTACAAATTGGTCCCCATCATCTGAAGGAACAGTCAAGCTGAATTGTAATGGATTATGGATGTTCTTTCAGGATGGTGCCATTAAGTCTTGGAGGAGCTTTTAGAGGGYTCATTGGGGAGATACTACTGGCTGAGGGGATTCCATTGGAGCTGAGGCATTACCATTCCTTGAGGGGTTGCATTTGCTAAGGTTCCTAGGGTGCACAGTTTTGAAGTGGAGGAGGACTTATTGTCAGTGGTGGGATAGATGAGAGATGATAGGGAATGTCCATGGATCCTACATCAGATCTTACAGAAGCTAGATCATTGGCCTCTAGACTGCACAATCTATTCAAATGGATCCAAAGATTTGCCAATGTTCTAGCAGACTTACTAATTGGGGTATATGGAGGGGGGGTCACCTTGAGGCTTTAGTCCCATGGGCTGGGTTCTAATGGGAATGAAATATGTGGTCATATACTAGTCTTATGCCCTCCCAAACCATTTTGGGAATTTCTTCATTTGTAATTTATATTTAAGCCTTTAACAAAATTTCTTTGATCTTGTTACTGATTGATAAAAGGACCTCATTGGCACAAAGCATTGTCATCTGCAAAGTATATTTCCTTAGAAAGACCTCATTTTCTCATTCCATGTCTATTGTCAGCAATGTTTTAAAACGTGGAGGTGTGATGCGAGGCGTTCCACTACCTAGAGGTGTGAGGGCGTAGTTCTGAACGTAAGAGGCGTAAGCCTCCCGAACACAAGGAGACGCAAGCCTCCTTAAGAGGAGGGAGGGGGGGTCAAGAGGAAGAAGGAAGAGGAAGGGAGGATCTCATTTTTTTCTTTATTTTTAATAAAAATCTTTTATATTAAGAAGAATAGAGATGCACAACACTAGTTGAAAGAGGGGTGGGGGGTCTGGGTGAGCCAAAGGGGCCGGGGGCAGACCACTTTCTTTCCCCTTATCTTTTCTTCCCTTTCCTTTCCTTTTCTCTTTTTTTTTCTTCTCTTTCTTTCTTTTTGTTTCCCTTCCCTCTCTTTTCTTTTCCTTTCCTTTTTTTTTTTCAGTCTTTTTATATGAGGTGTGCATGAGTCGCATGAGGTGTACGCCTCTAGCACGCCTCATGAAAAAAGCGCACGAGGCGTACACCTCAGAGGTGGCAGCACCTCTGGCATACGCCTTAGGGCATTTTGGGAGCACCTTGCCTTGAGTGCCTCCAGGCATATGCCTCCCACGCCTTTTAAAACACTGATTGTCAGTAATGTATTTTCTGACAGGTCCCAGAAACTTGACACACAATTCTCAGACTCACAGCAGAATTCACACAACTAGAACATCAACAAGGAAATGGTACTCATTCAGAAGAAAAGAAGAACATTAACAGTTGGTCAGTTCTTCGAGAGACTGCCGGCTCTCCCAATCACTCACAGTATTCTTCACTCAACGAAAGTCTGCCCTCCCCCATCCCCCAAAGACCCTTCCTATATTCTTCTGACAGCATAACTGACTCCCCCCCATAAATGCCTAGCTGGCATAGTTATAAATGCCCAACACTCTTCTTATTCATAACTGACATAGCTATAAATGCCCCAAGACTTTCCTTATTCCCTGCAGCTATAATTGCCCCCCATGTGATTAATTGTTCAATTATTTCTCCCCCTTAGCCGATTGTTGACATTTCCTCTTCCTGGCATATGTAAGGTTAATTGGGGGCCTATCATTACCCGCCGCCCAAAGTCTAACCTTGTCCTCAAGGTTAAAATGAGGAAATTGGTCTCGAAGTAAGTCAAAAGGCAGCCAAGAATCTTCAAAATCAGGCAGGCCCTGCCAATGAATAAGCTTCCAAACCAGTAACTCCATGCATAGCGGATAGACGCACACCGCGCACTGATATGTCCCTGCACAGGCCAAGCAGCAGCAGCACCCACTGCACAGATGGTGTGTCTGCTTTGTCACCTCTTGAAGCATGTCTATTTCCTCCAGCTTCACGTTTCCAACCTTCAGCCTCTCCATGATCATCCACAGCCATCCTGTCCCCTCCTTGCATGGTGTGCACTGCCCACAACTTTCATGCTTATAGAAGTAAGAGAGCCTAGCAATTGCATCCACAATATCAGTTGACTTGTCCATCATAATTACAGCATCTGTCCCTAAACCCGTTTGGACAGCCTTGAGTGCATCATAATCCATCAACACATCATCACATATGTGCTTTGGAATCAGTGGAACMRAAGAACCCYCTGGTATCACTGTAAGCAAATTATCCCATCCACCTCTAACTCCTCCACAGTGCCTTTCTATCAGCTCCTTCAATGGAATACTCATCTCCCCTTCAACTGTACAAGGCTTATTCACGTGGCCTGAGACATAGAGTAGCTTTGTCCCAGAATTGTTCTTCCTGCCAAAACTAGCAAACCATTCAGGACCACACCTTAAAATGGTGGAGAAAACAGCTACAGTTTCAACATTTGTAACAGTTGTTGGACATCCATATAGCCCTGCATTAGCTGGAAAAAGAGGCTTCAACCTTGGTTTTCCTTGTTTTCCTTCAAGGCTTTCCAACAACGCCGTCTCTTCTCCACAAATGTAAGCATCAGCTCCATAGTGGATATGAACATCAAAATCATATCCAGATCTACATGCATTTTTTCCCAAAAGTCCAGCTTGATAAGCTTCCCTCCTTGCTTTCTCAAGGTTTTTCCGCTCATTTACATACTCTCCCCTTATGTAGATATAAGCAGCAGTGGCCCGCATACCAACCCCTGCAATCAGGCAACCCTCTAGTAGTTTTTGTGGGTCATGGCGCATAATTTCTCTGTCCTTACATGAACAAGGAACTGGTACCACTGTTAGGTCCCAGAAACTTGACACACAATTCTCAGACTCACAGCAGAATTCACACAACTAGAATATCAACAAGGAACTGGTACTCATTCAGAAGAAAAGAAGAACAGTAACAGTTGGTCGGTTCTTTGAGAGACCGCTGGCTCTCCCAATCACTCACAGTATTCTTCACTCAATGAAAGCCTGCTCTCCCCCATCCCCCAAAGACCCTTCTTATATTCTTCTGACAGCATAACTGACTCCCCCCCCATAAATGCCCAGCTGGCCTAGTTATAAATGCCCAACACTCTTCTTATTCATAACTGACATAGCTATAAATGCCCCAAGACTCTCCTTATTCCCTGCAGCTATAATTGCCCCCCATGTGATTAATTGTTCAATTATTTCTCCCCCTTAGCCGATTGTTGACCTTTCCTCTTCCTGGCATACGTAAGGTTAATTGGGGGCCTATCATTTTTCTAACTTTTCTTGCATTTCCCTTCTTTTGCCTCTCATACTGACAACCATAACCCATAGTACATGGGAGTTTTACCACTCATATAGTGTTGTATTCCAGTGCTGTGAAATTAGTATGCTTCTAACTTCTCTCTTTTAATTCTCAGATTGATGACCATGACAAGAAGTATGTTAAGGAGTTTGACCCTTTATGAACTTATGCAGGCATTAATTTGGTCCAAGATGAGTACAGGACTTCCAATAGAGATATCTTCATCAATGAGGGGTCAAAACTATACTTCATTCTGCAGGCTGGACATAGATATTCATCGGTATGTCTGCAATCTGGTTTTTATGAATGTACACATAATAATCTTTATTATGTAATTCCAATACTGCTTTGGAAAGAGGCTTCACCATAGTTGGGTAAAATGGCATACTTTATACCATCTGAAGTTTATATAGCTGGGTTCTAAGCTAATGCAGAAAATGAATAAATTATTTTAAATACTTCACTACATCTTTGCCTTTCCACATGCATCACATGAGCCACTTACCTACTAGGATATGTATGTTATTCCACACACACACACACACACACATATATATATATATGTATATTACAAATTGCATCTTGTAAACATACTTATTAGATGTGCTTAGTTACAAAGCTGAAAGTGGTCACAAATAGATAATACCTAAACAATTCAGCCTTCTCTCTTGATACATACATTTGTTGATTCACACCTTTTCTCAATATATGCACATACTTGATCATATTAGAAAATACTGACTTGTCTTTTAACTATTCAGTAACATTCCTCACATTCACTTGCACGAAAAACGAGACAACAAGGAAAAGTGGCATGGTGCAGAAATTCAAGTTGTAATTGAGGGCAACTGGACAACTTACCGTGTATGTAGTACCTACCAGGGCCTTCTCCTGTGCTCTTGTAGGAGTTGCAGACCTGGCTTAGGTTCCCTACAAAAATCTATTTTTTGAGGTATTGAATATGATCTAATTTGTTTTACTTGACTAAACTTTATTGTTGGTCAATGCAGTCGAAGATATTGCACTATATGCGTCAGATGGCTGTTATTACCCCTTATGCTCAATTTCTTTTTAAATATGTCTCCGATGCTGCAGAGTAAGTGCTGCTCCTTGGATCTGTACATCTCATCATCTTTTCTAATAATTTTGTCTAATATCCTTCCATCTTTTTCTTCTTTATCCACAGTAAAAATGTCACTATACGATTTGCACGAAGAACCGATGTTATGCCACCAGTTCCTCTTGAGACAAAGCACCATCCGTCTGCAGTTGATTTACTACTAATCAAGCGCCTTATTGCAGAAACCTCTAAGCAGAATCTATTGCAGTTTCTTCAGCATGAATTTGTAAATATTGGAAAATCTTATGCTGAGCGTTTAATTGGTACATATCTTTTTCTGATATTTATATCTCATTTTGGGATACATTTGAAGAAAATTGGCTTGTACAATTTCTATTTTCAGTATTTAGATTGTTGACTAAATTAAAGAACAATCATTGAGAGGTGTTACTTTCTAACTTCTGGAACACATTGGATCACTTGCATTACATTCCAAAATATGTAAATTAATCATGTGCTAGCCATGTTTCAGAAATGGGTGTGATATTTTTCTATTAGTATGGGTATTATAGTGCTTGTACTAACAATTGCACCTCTGTCATTCATTAGCATGATTCTGGCCGACAACTGTTTACATGTGGCTGGATCATGTGCAATCCTACTGTTCAAATATGAATTATGTCAATGTTTTTGACTGCTTTTGCAAATGTATGACTGCTTTAAGGTGTTGACTGAGTTCATTAAAAATAGAAGGATTTTTTATGCAATGCATCCTTTTTTGTTTAGGTGGAATGAATTAATATATTTTGGTCCTAACATGTACATTATCAAATAACTACACCTTGTACAGAAATACCTCTAACTGTGTTTGTGCCCTTGTACAATTAGTACAATTTTTACATTATATTATCATAAGTAATGTTTATGTTCTAAATTTTGCAGGAGAAATGGGCCCAGATTTTAGTCCAAAAATGGCTGTAAAATCTCTTACATCTCAGCAAATAGTTCGCATTCATCAATTATTCCGTCAGGCTAAATTTGATGACCCTAGTGGTGATGTATGTAGTATTCAGATTGTCATTTCCATGTAGTTGTCTTTCCATTTCATACCCTGGTATTCTATTTGTGTTATATCTTTAATTTCTTGGATCCATGCTTCTTTATATCCTAAAGTAGTTTGGGACATGTACTTTTTTCAGTGTCTTAGTCCTGCAGGGGAGTATAATCTTCGGTTAGGAATAATAAAGGAGCTGCACCCCGAAATGGTTGCTACTTATTCTTGCAGGTTGGCTTCCATTTCTTCTTCTTATTATTTTTTTTGATCAATAACAACAATTCATTACTTAATCACAAAAGTAATTACAGAGAGGAAGATAAACTTTCTTATCTTCCAAAAGGAGCTAAACACTCCCAAGAACAAAAAGGAAAAAAGTTACACTTGTGCCCAAAACAATGTCTCCCTATTGACTACTTTCTTAGCTAACCCATCCGCAAAAGAGTTAGCTGATCTTTTCACCCAGCTAATCTTAACTTCCATCTCTTGAACCAGCCACCTAAACTTCCTCCTCTCGTTACTGTACATCCATAAGCTGTTGTTTTCTTTACTTAGCCACCCTACCACCACCTCTGAATCCCCTTCAATGATGAGTTTTCTTATATTCAGTTCCTTGGCTCTTTGAATTCCTTCCATAACTGCAAAGATTTCAGCCCTGAGAGAGTCACCCACCCCAATTGGGCCGGAGAACATGGCAGAGACAAGCCCATTCTCATTCCTAAACACACCTCCAATCCCTGATTGTCCAGGATTCCCCCAATTCTACTCCCATCAAAGTTTAACTTATTTTTCAATATCTGTTTCTTTTTTAACTTATTTTTAAGGTATAACATGTAGGTTAGATGCTTAGTGGGGTGGAAGGTATTAAATGTTTGGTTTAAAATCATACAATGTTTACTTTAGATAATAAAACTGGTTCTCAGATACCTGTTTTTGGCTACCATTTTAATGCAGTCCTCAAGTTTTTGAAGGCCATCCGTTCATTGTGGAAGCTGGAGTGAGTTTGGGTGGAAAAGATGTTAAACAAGTAAGTGCTTACTTGTTGGTGCTATCAGCATTAGTTCTTTCCCCAGAATATTGGAGCTGTATTCTTTTTTTGTTACTCTTAATCTTTGGACATATTTTCTGGATAAAACATAATTTGGTTTTATCACCATTATTTTATGATTTGTATGTAGGTGAGTATTTGCAATTATTTTATGCCCATAACTTAATGATTTGTGGGTATACATTTAAACCTACTTGTCAGCAAAACTTCTATTCATTGACATACACTAGTCTGCCTTTGTTTGTTAGGTCATATATATGCACAAAATACATGTACCAACATGTGGGTTGTATATGCCATGCCAAAATTCTTTGTACTTTAATTGCAAACTGCAATTAGTTTTTAGTTATTGCATCAATAGGAGTTCCATGATTGAGTGATTGAGTCTACCCAATTATGCAAATTATTGGGTAATAGTAAGTATAAGCAGGAGTGGCAATAAATAAGGAATTTGTCTTTCTTCTTTATTAATCCTGGTTCCTGATTTCTCTTTCAACTTAGTTTTCTAAAATATGAATATTAATTTGAAAATGAAGTTTTTCCCTCAATTAGTCACCTTTGTCTTGAATATGTCTCTATCATATTGCCTATTCATTCAAGTTAGCAAAATCTGAAGTATGGTTGCATTAATTGGTTACAAGTAGTAATACTGTTTCCCAAGACTGATGCTTATTAAACATGCCCTGGTGGTATGAATTTTAGGGGCTGAATATTTTCCGCTTTGCAAACCGCATTCCACTTCTTTTTGAGCGAGGTGCAGATGTTGTGACAAGGACTGCTCTGAAAAGGATCAAGTAAGATCTAAATATGGTCAAATCTCCTTCCTTTGTTATACCCATATAGGTAGACTTCCCTCCGAAGTTAATGAAATCTAATTACAGGATATCTAACTGAAGAATTGGTTTCCAGTTGGAATAGCTACAAGATCAACCAGACACAAGACAAAATTGGTGTTTTTGTGAGCATTGTTAGCACAAAAATACCCTTCAAGGGAACAGGAAAAGAATATATTGGAGATGATATAAGCGAGATAGCTTCTGCTGTCAAGGTAGTTTGTCTTCAGTTCCATGTATTCAAATGACAAAGGAAGATAATTTGTATTCTAACAGCATAATTTCTTCAGTCTTCCATCCAGCAATGTTGTGTTCAGCTGAAGTCTAAAATAGTGAAGAAAATTCAAGCTCGTGAACAACAGGAGAGGAAGCGAAATTTAAGCAAGTTTGTTCTCTTACTCATTTCTGTTGTATTTGGAATTGGAGAGCTGCATTCTTTGCAATAGTTGCTGCAATTTTCTTGTCTTTTCTTTTTCCTTCATTTTCTTTTTGCCTAAACAATGAATGATTAGTTGCCACATTGACTGCTAATTCTTTTGGTGGGTTGATAGGAGAGTAAATAACCTATTATTTATAAGCCATAAGATTTACTGGTGTTGCCTATGTAAATGTGCTGATGTTTCTCAAGTTCAATAATTATATAAAGAAAAATCCCAATTGGGTCAAGTAGGGAGCATTCCTGCACAGCCCACCCCAGTCTGCCATGGAGATAGATAATGTAATCAATCCAACATGTCCACTGAGGAGGGGAGCCACTGGATTTGCCACATATTTAAGATTCTAGTCCATAAGAGCCCTATATCCCACCTTGTATTGGTGTTTTTCCCAACTGTAAGCCCACTTCTGGTTTCCCTGAATATTTCTCCCATCAAACTTTCTTTGTGGTGGAAATGAGGCCAGAAGACTTTTTGGGCTTTAAAGGAGGCTAAGACTGATCTAACCAAGCACATGCTGTTGTATCAATGCATGAGATACACTTCACACATTCCATGAAGAGGATCCCAAACATGGAGTCATTTTTGCTAGTTCTCTGAGATAGTTGACACTCATCTTCTTATTCCTTGAATCTGGCTCTAGTTCCATTGCAAACTTGCATTCTCAGTTTTTTTGAGAAGTCTGCCACTGTACCTTCCAGAACTTGCATCATATTTGGGATTGTTCCAGTGTCTGGTGTAGTTGTTCCTTTTGCAAAACTGCCTTGTTTTGAATTTGAATTTAACAAGCATTTCATGTGCTTTGTTTTTTCATGAGAAAACCATCTCCTTTTAGATATTGTTTCTATATTGTCTACTCATTTTAAGAGAGTTTCAAGGGGATGTTTCCTAAACATGTTTTGAACAAGAGGGTTCCATCAGTCAAATGGTGTCATGGTGAACTTTGCACATGATTTTAGGAGGCTCCAACTATATCCCAGGAAATGCCATGCAACTCCTTGTTTGACTCAACATAATTAATTTACTGAAATTAACATGATTCTAACAAGGTTTAGTATAGAAGCAAGGCATTAAAAATGGCTCTGACACTAATAACCTGTTAAGATGGTACTATCTGCTTTCGTACTTTTCTATAGTTCTGTTGAATTTTCTATGATCTAAAAGCTATGTATCAATAATGTCTTCCAATCAGGTTGAGTATGGAATAAGACTATAAGAGGCTTCCCAGGTGAGCCCTGTTTAATGGTGGGTTATACCATCTTAAGTACCTAAATGTAAGCAATTTGGATAATCAAATAGGAAATGAAATGTATTTTACTTATCAAAAAAGAAAAAGGAAATGGAATGGGTTGATCTAACATCTGACCATTCTCCAATATTTAGTGGGTTTGTGTCCTCATAGGGATTACATTTTAAAATAATCAGGCCCATAATCTGACAACAGGTACCTGATCAAAACTCGGAAGGTCCAATTGTAATGCATAAATGAATCAGATGGAGATCCATGCTATAAGATCCAACAAGGGTTCAGATTTACATCCCCTATGCATGATAATATTGAAACACCCGCTATGCATGTTCATGCGTATCGGGTGTATCAATACTTTGAACCTTGGTCTGGATCAGCTCTTGATCCAACCCATTTTAAATTCAAATGGTCTATACAAAAGCTCCAATTTTGCTTGTTAGTAAAATTATTGATATCATTATTATTAGCATTATTAGTATTAGTAAAACTTTGCTTGCATAATCAGGTACATACCTGATGTAACAGCTGCCATATATGATGTATTGAGAGAAACAGCTCATCAGCAAGCATCGAAGAAGAAGAAGCAATATGAGGAAAAGGATACAGAACTTCTAACAAAGGTATCAACTCGTATTGTTACAGAAAAGACTCTACGGGAAAAGCTTGCTCAACATGTTGAACAGGTTGGTTTCCCACATCCGAAGCTTATGTTTACTCCTTTACTTTTAGTCAGCTTAACAACTTGAAACATGTATTCTATTTTCATAATTACTAATTGGCATGCATTCAATATAAATGTGATAAAAAACTGTTTAATCACAATAAATCGGGGAGGCTTGCCTTTGTCATGCGAGACAATATGAAAGGGAATGATGTTCCACCATTATTATATCTCACATGCCAGAAGCAAATTGGTACTTGTAACACTTAAATTTATATTATTTCCCTGGACTGTGAACCATAGTTTGTATCAATCAAATGGTACAGAAGACTGCACAACCAATTGAATGCTGCCTCTGCGTATCTATAGATTAACCATCTTTCATCTCAAGAGTGGGCACTACAGCTTGGATATCCTGTTTATGAGACAACTAAACGAAGCAGATCTAATTTTGCATGTTGGAAAGATGATGTTGGTGTAACTTCTACTGTTGTTTCCTTTGGATATAATTTTGTAGGTGGATTATGAGATGGCATTAGAGTATGCAACGCAGAGCGGAGTGAGTGAGGAACCCAGGGAAGACATCTATATACGGGCAGTGGAAGGTGCATACGACTTCATTGACTTCCATAGTCCCGTTTTTGTATTTAGGCTTTTTAGCTAGTCAGGTCTTAATATTTTTATAATAAAATATTAAGGTGCATATGACTTCACCAGGCCATTTTTTATATATTTTTTCATCGTATCTAATAAATGAAGCATATATTTGAATTTGTAGTTGGTTGTATCGTTGTGATCAATTCTGGTTTGTACATCATTACATTCATATTGATGGTGTTTTGGAACACATAATGCATCACTCTGTGATGATGTATTAAGGAGGATCTGCTGCCTTTGAATTGTGAAGTCTGAGTAAGACACAGATAACGACCGAGAAATAAAAACGTGAATCAAGGCCTAAGAAACCACTCGCACTAGAAATGTATCTGGAGGAAATGCTTCCTTTTATGATTAGAGGTTCGCTGATCAGCTATTCATGAACAAGCTTGTTACAATGCTAATGTGAGGTATCTCACATTGACAGTATGGGATGCTGTTGTGGGGTATATATGTGCTTGGGTTCCCTCTCTCTAACAACTAGTTTATAGGGGTGAATTCTCCTAAGGTACATAACAAATGCGGCATTCACCATCACTGTGACAACCTACACTCCATGTCTTCTTGCGTGCTTGGTTGATACATAACTATAGCCTATTTCTGATGAAGGAAAAATCAGATAGAAAGATGGTGAAGAGCAAGACATTTATTCTGATCAAAAGAAAGAAAAAAAAGGAAATTTCTTTTCCACGTTTCTGGAAGTAACCAAACAAGAAATTCCAGTTCGGTCATATATACAAATCTCCTCTATAGCATTCTTAACAAAATCTCTCTCTCTCTTTGTGTCTATCTCAACTATCAAGTCTCATCCCATGCTTCTCTCAATCAGCTAGATCCCGTTTTAGGTTCGCAGGTGGTAGAAAACAATCCATGGATAAACCACGGATATTAAAATCAACCTCCTCAATAGTCCATGTCTCCTCCATCTTCCTTTTGTGATTGATGGAACCATCTCCGTACCTATATAGCGTGACCAGGGTCCTGCCGCTGTGGGCAATGTTAACGCCGTCAATGTATCTATAGTCTTCGATCACCGATTCCATCCTCGTCTCCCAGAAAATGCTACTGTGTCGCTTTCCCTTTATCGTCAGTAATTTGCAGTCCTCAAATTGGATCAACAAACCGGTTCTTTGGCTAAAGTAGCCCCACATCGTGTGATGTATGATCTCCACGGCCTTGGTATTTCGGGCCTCAAGGCTCGCTGCATTTGCCTCAAGCTTGAGTATAAAGCAGTCTTCGTTATTAATAATCTTCTCTCCTATGCACACTGCATCTAAAAACAAATTGGCCGTAGACCTAGGGTCCAGTCCCTACGCTCCCCATAAGAAACTTTTTGTTAGTATCAAGGATATTAGGAAGTGTTTCGTTTGATACAAAATAATAGAGAAACAGAAAGCTGAGAGAAAGTTCTGAAGATTCTCTCAAAATTCCTAGGGCCTAGTTTGATGTAGTTTCATTTCCATTGCTGAAAAAAGCACGGGAGTGTTATGGGTGCAACTCCGGCAGACTGGATCACATTGAAGGTCAATCCAGGCCCAAGCCTAATGGTGCAAATCTTGAGCTCGGGCCTGGCACAGCCCAAGTTTATCAACCCAGGCCCAATTCGCGCTTAATCCAATACAACTCAGGTCGGGCTTGGGCTCGGGATGGACCGGGTTGGGTGGGTTTGAATAATTAAAAAATATATATTTTTATAAATATAATGCACATATGTATGTATTTTTTTAGGTGTACTCGGGTTGAGTTGTGTCTTGGTTGGGTTGGACTTAGACTGCCCGAGACCTCAACCCAAGTTTAGATTGGGCCTGACTTTTCTGGCCAGCCCCAGCCTGCAGCCCGAAAACCCAGGCCCAACCGATGAAAAAACTCAGGTTGGGTCAGGTCGTGCTCGGGTTGGACCCGCCCAAGTTGCACCCTAGAGAGTGTAAATGAGTTTAATGAAAATTCTGATTTATTTTGTTTTAAAATTTACTTTGTTTTGATTGCTTGCATTGTACATGAAGTAACACAAAACCTGATCAAGGAAACCAAAAGCAACAGTGAAGAAGAGAATTTACATTCTTTTGATGTATGTACTCCCATGCAAAGTTCAATCGAAATTGCATGGCAAACAAAAGGAGCCTAAGAGCTTCCCTAAAATTTCTCTTTCTCTCGTATTTTCTATCAAACCAGATACAATATTAGTATGCCCTAGAATTGCTAATAATGATATTTAGAGAGGACGTCTCTTCTTCAAGATTAACTATCCATGCATCGATCAAGCTAAATGTTTAAAGAACGAACCATCTCATCTCTACAAACAACACATCTAGCAGATAGCAGATGTGACACTACTGCTTTCTCAAGGTAATTTTTTTCTAGAAAATTTTTGCTCAGCAGAAACTTTATGCATGGCATGCAATACATTACGTGGGGTGGCAAGAAAGAAGCAGAAGAAGGTTGATGCATTTTACAGAAAAAATGGAAAGTTAATGATATACCTGTAAAAACCGACGCAAGGGTCTGGGCGGACCTTTGGTGGCATGTGATTGTTGAGAGCCAGACTGCCTCCAAGCCACCTTGCCATCACTCCCGGCACTGACCTTGCAGCTTGGCAAGACCAGCTCCAAGTACCAGAGGTTTGGGTTCTTTTGCCAAAGCACGAAGCCTCCAATCTCAGAGGGGCCCCTTGCTTTTATACTGTCGTCGCCAACTTGGAACTCGGAAGCACACATCTTCACCTTTCCAATGGCGTACATGCTCTTCACTGAGTTCAATGCCGTTTGTCCTCCCGATGCCGCTATGTATTGCTGTACAATATATTTGGCTGTTGAAGCTTCCTATTAATTAAATTAAACGACAAGAAAATGAAGAATTAATACAAATTATTAATGAGCGATCAATTGATGGATATATCATCAATCAACCTGCAACAAATTAAAGCTCGTCCAATCTAATTATAATAGTAATACTTACGATAGAGGAGTCTTTGATGGGGCGGTTGACAGTGGTGTCGGTTTGCACCTCGTGAGGAATAAAAGGAGAACCCACGACATTGAGAAGGAGTTGAAGATCGGAATTGGCAGAGGAATCCGTCTCGTTAGCAGGTTGACACTTCATCCAGTTGCGCATGTTCTGCCACCGGACGGTGGTGTTGCTGCCCATGCTGGCGAACATCTCTTCCGGGATGGGGACCTCGAGAACGGTCTCCAGGCCATCCTCACGATCCAAATTGGGGCAGAGTTTCCTCATGGATGGCGAGGAGAGAGAGAGAGAGAGAGAGAGAGAGAGAGAGAGAGAGAGAGAGAGAGAGAGAGAGAGAGAGAAGGGGAGAGAGAAAAAGAGACTCGATCGAAGAAGCCTGCCTTCCCCTTCTCCTTGCTCTTCTCCTTCCCCTTCTCTCAAAGCTCTTCACAATTCACATTATATTGCCTGAACGAAGCGATCGCTTTTAGAGGGAGCTCCTTGTTTGCAGGAGTCATGCGGGCACGCTTTCATCGATTTTCATTATTAGGTAATACGGTTTACCCTACAAACGCCTTGGAGCTGTCTACATTGGCTATCCTTGTCTGACCGCCTGGACTGTCAACGGTGTTCTCCCTGCCAGGCGTGACACGTTAGTTTATTCATCCATGCATTCTACACAAGTCGGTTTTTTTTTAAATGTTGACAATGACAAAGGTGTTTTGGTACAGGAATCGTTTTTCTGTTTCTGTCTAATGCCTGACAGCCTGGGCTGTCAACGGTGTTCTTCCTACGTGGCACGTTACTTTATTCATCCTTGCATTCTACACAAGTTGATTAGAATCAAGGGGACGCATCGGAGAAACATTCCGGTACCAAACAATTTCAATATTTTAAAAACCGGTTCAGAACCGAAACTATTTCGACCATCGGCTTCTGGATCAATCGTTTGACTTTGACCATTCGACCTGAATGAATTAGTCAGTAACTTTTAAAATTAAAAATGAATAATCGGCCTGAAAACCATATTGTCTGGGTCAGTGGTCTGCTGACCTCAATTCAATGGTTTTTAGGAAAATAGTGGTTTGGGTAGAAATGAAACCGGTACCCTGGCCGGTTCTAGGCCAAATGGTCTAACGGTCTGGTGGGTCGGTGGTGGTTTTAAGACCTTAAATGTTTTCTAAAAGCTCCAGCCAGATGTTCTTTATGCTTCTCATTTTGGAAAGAGTATAAATATAAATATGTAGAGTGTAAAACCTTATATTTTGTATTATTTTTTATGTATTTATATTATATATATTTGTATTTGTATTTTTTTCAAACTGAGCCTTAATTGATAAATAGAAAATGTTTATGTCCTATATATATATATATATATATATATATTTGTATTTGTACTCTTTCCAAACTGAGGCTTAATTTCGAAATCTTATTTGTGTTAATTTTTTAAAATAATTAAAAACAGAATAATTTCTCTCAAAATTTCTGTTAAACAATGGATGTTAAAATCCAAATTTAGAGACTCTACTCCACTCACATCCTAAAAATAGTATGTCCTTACACCCTAGCATGTAAGACTACAGTAAAGATGGTTGATGTCCAATAAAACGAATAAAATGTATTAAACAAGGATGCACCCATTTTAGTTTTTAGGTGATGATATCTCTTTAAAGCAAAAGCCGTGCAAACACTCTAAGAATTGGGAGGCATTCTCAATGTGCAACTGGATGCTGTGCCACATTTTGCTTTTAAGAGATTTGGGCTCCCATTTTAGGGTGATCATAGCTTGGGCTGTGTTGGACCTTGGGCCTATGTTTTCAGAAAATCTAAATCTATGATGCCAGAAAGACATGATACGGAAAAAATTTTGACTGATCAAAATCCATCCAAGAATTTTGATGAATTCCGCCCGATTGGTTCACGTTTATAGCTACTGCAAATGCAACACTAAGCTGTAAGTATGGTTTTGTGAGGACTGAATCCAAATTCACATAGAGTTGGGTCTCCTGCTTTACTCAATAAAAGCCTTCTCAAAGCATCACTCAAATGAATACCTCTGTCTTCTTTAAATGTTCGTGGACAATCTGAAAAACAGTTACTTGAATAACCGGAGTTGCTAAAGGTAGGGTTGTTTTTTAGTTCTGGGGTTGCTGATTTACAATGTTTAATTTTTGGGTACATCACATATCAAAATCATACCAGAAAATATAACAAGGCGGATTTGTTGCTGAGATGAGCCACAGTTTGCAATTAGCTGATTGGAGACAACTTTTCATAATTTTATTTATATTGTTGTGAATCAAAGAAGAGGCTTTGGAGGGCAAAGTTACCCAAGTGGCTTTCCAAACTTTATTTTCATTTTTGGAAGCCTAAATCATCTTTTAAGTTTTTGGGCTTTGAAAGATCTTTTTTTTTGCAAGTTCAACCAAACACCACCTTAGTTATTTACCAAAAGACAATGCAATAAGTCAATTCAGTTCAGCCACTTTAGTCTCTCTCTACCAATACGGGCCAAGTGCTATGTTTAGTTGAGTCGAGTTCGAGTGGTTCATAAGCCTAATTTTATAAATGAGACTTGAGTTCAAGTAGAAAACTTGAAACTTGATCAACTCAAATCAAATGGTTATAAATGAAACTTGAAACATAAATAAATAATTTTATAAATGAAACCTGACAATTGATTGACTCTACCTTATCGTTAAGGTCTATTAAGATTCCCTCAAAATTCGTTCGTACGTGATATACATATCTATTAAAACTCAATTTTACCCTCCACCTCCCTCCCTCTTTCTCTCTCTCCCCTTCTTTTTCCTCTTGCCTCTTGGGTTCAGGCACAGATAATAGGACATGAAAATCAGCTCATGCTGAAAGGACGAGGGGTTTCACCATGCTCTTCGTAATTTATCCGAAGCTCCTCTCAAACCTCAAAATAAACAAAGTCATCAAGGCACGCCGAACGGCCACTTCAAGCTCAACCCCCTGTAATCACTACCATTGGATGTTGTCAAGGAAACATCTTACACTACAGAAATTTGTATAGTTTACAGTTTGATCATCAGCTCTGATTGCAGATTGCCCATGTGGACGGCATTGGATTGGAAATCAGAAATAATAGGAGAGAACGAATTGGGTATCAATCGTGGAATTGGGTATCAAGAAAAGATGTAGTAACTCCGTCGGGATTGATCACCGCACTGAGAACAAGACACGTTAATGCCACTGCAACAAAGAGAATCATACCCGTCAGTATTCGGTGACCGAGAGAGCCGGAATCCGGTAACATTTTGGATGGGTTTCCAACGGTAGAGCGGTTCTCTACAGTGTGATGTCTTCTGTAATCAGGAAAAAAGTGGAAGAAATCACGAGACAAACATTTATTATGAGGGCTTTAGATGAAAAACTAGAAAAAGCAGAGATGACAAAAGAGATGAGAGTAATAGAGCTGACAGTCTGGCAGTGGTTTTTATGGAGGAGGTTTCTTTTCCGAGCGTAGGGTGTCCACAGTTTTCAATTTGTTTCATTTTTAAGTGATGCAATAAAAGGAGCAATTTATGGATGAGATTTGTTGTCGAGCGTTATATGAAGAGTGCTGCCACAGTTCTGATTAATTCTGCCATAGTCACTAATAAGAGAGGTCGATTTGGAAGTCCGGCACAGTTTCCGTCGCTGACATCTTCGTCTTTGATGCTGGGGCTGGGTTTGGATGGAGCCCAAACCCAAGATGCAGCAACTTTAAATCGAGTCTGACATGTTATGATTTTACTCTCATTGTTTCAGCCACTCTGTCGCTTTTTAAACTATTTTGGGCTTTCCTTTTTATATGGAGATTTCATCGGGAAACCCAAGATATGCAATGCCAGTGAGGGGAGAGGATGAGGACGGAAATGGAGGGGAAGTGACATCAAGGGTTCAATCTTTGTCGGTTTTGTCTGGGTCTGCTGCTGCAAATGGGGATAACATGGAAAAAGATATAGAGGGAGCAGAGAAATGGAAGAGCAGCAACAGTGGTCTTTCTTTTCTTTGGATTTGTCTGCAGAGCCGTTTCTGAAGAATGTTGTTTATGAAGGATGCCATGAACGAGAGGGGAAGAGCAGCAACGGTGGCATCTTGGATGCACGGGAGAACGTCAGTCTCTCTGTGAGAGGTTTTTGCAACAACGAAACCCATGAGGTCTCTCTCTCTCCTTCACCTTCATTCTCTCTCGTTCCCTTCTTTTAATTCAAACATACTCGTGATGTTTGTTTATTTTGAGGTTTCGTTGGGTTTGAAAGGTGAGGGTTTTGATGAATCAGCGTTTTTTTTCTTTCTTTTTTTTTTCTGTTTTATTTTGAAATTTTAAAAAAGAATAAAGAATGAAATTGTCTTTTTTGTCCTTTTATGTTAACGGGTGTTAATGGTAATAAAAGTATTAGTCAGCTTAGTCAATTTTTAAACAGTAAGAATACACTTTGTAAATTAGCGAAACTATAAGGGTAGTTTAAAAAATTTACCCTTTAACCAAACATAGGAAAAATACCATTGGGCGAGCGATCATGTGAACAGTGGATCTAAGTATCTAATTAATCTCACTCTCTCGATTGCTCGCAGCAGCAGCAATTCGTCTGACTCTGAGGCACGATTTTTTTCATTTGCATTCCCAGTTACCTCTACTCGTTTGAATCTCTATGGTTCTGAAAAATCCCTGACGAATATATTTTTTATTTCAACACTTGTTGATCGGATCTGAACTTCAACTATCTATTCTCTAGAGCCTCGTTAATGGTCAATACATAGCCATAAAGAAAATCATATCTTTTATAACCGTCATACTTCGATCTCCATTCCAGTGCTCGATATCATCCCACACTTGACTGACATTTTGTGTTTCTTATCTGTGAATCTAATTTAATTCACTATGGTTGTTTCTTAACAGAATACTAACATTTATATTCGACTTATTTCCACGGAAGAACTTGGTTTTATCTTCTGAATTCTAGTAAAGTTGGGGTGGTGTCGAAATCTGCACATTTCGAGATGACTCAACAACCCCATATTGCGGTGCTTGGTGCTGGAATCTTTGTTCGAACTCAATACATTCCTAGGCTAAGAGAGATAGCCGATACTGTGGTTGTTAAATCCATTTGGAGCCGCACTGAGGTAATTCATTTAACTTCTGCTCGTGATCTTCTTTATATTGGTGCTCTGCTTTGCAATTTTTCAAAATTTATTTCTGGTTTTATCCCTGTCCATTTATCAAAGTAGAAATCTGCAAGAGCTGCTGTAGAGCTTGCTCGAGAATTTTTCCCTAATATAGAATGCAAGTGGGGTGATGAAGGTCTCGATGCCATCATTCAAGATAGCTCACTTCATGGAGTCGCAGTTGTTCTTGCTGGACAGACTCAGGTATGGCCATGCGTCCCCAGTTTTAGCAGTTTTGACTCTCCCTATATCCTCCCACATCCTTGGGTTTCTGTACACCAATGTTGTTTCCCCTTTCTACATGATAATTTTCTAAGTTTCTTTTTCCTTTTGCCCATATTGAAAAACTCAATGCCTCACATTGATACTGGAGATGTGATAGGTGGGAGAGGGAAGTTCAGACCGATCTTATTAGTATTTCTTTGATGGCATGGAATCAATCATAAAGAAAAAAATAATGTACAATAATAAATCAAAATAAATATATTTATTTGCACATCAAATCTTGTTGAGGTGATCCAAGCTATAGCAGAGTTGATTGCCCTTCACCATAGCCTCAAAATAGCCCTAACTTGGGTTTTGAGAGGAGCCTTATGGAGGGTGATTTGTGGGGAAGGATTTCTTGGACGATTGGCACATCCTACAGTCTGCGGCACTGAACTAACAACATTAAGGATGTCCATTTTGCAGTAATGAAATTCAATACCTTGGTTGTTGAAAATAAAAATCATCTGGGATGGCAAGTTGGCCAGTGATGTTCTGACAACCCTGCCAGAAGTGGTGCTTTCGACTCTGGTATATAGAGGGGCCTTCATTGTCGTATGCTCAGGTTCTTTTATTGTTCCATTAGTAGTTCTTTTGGTAGGGAGACAGGTTCCTATTGTAGTTTTGCTTTAGAAGTTAAAGCTAGACACTTGTATCATTTCTCTATATTTTAATAATCCTTTGATTTTTCTATCCTCAGGAATATTTTAAAGGAATTTTCTATATATTATAGATATTTGAAACTAGAGAGCCTTATAATTAAGACCAGTGAAAAGACAACAAGCCCCTTCTATTTGTTGGTAGCAACCTACCTACTGGGGGCTTTATTTTGTTTACCCTGCCCTTAATTAAGTGGAATGCCTTGTTGACGAAAATTAGGGGCTTACTCAGATAATTAAGGTACAAAGGAATTTCTTTAGAAATACCGCTTTTGTTATTAAACCATCTTAGCCTTTACTTTCTTGAAAATTAACAATATAGAAAAGTAAAAGTTAAAGACATAAACTGTATCTTCTGCTCACTTTGTCTTCCCCATTAAAATAAAAAAAAAAAATAGAAACAAATCTTTCCTACTTGGCATCCCACCAACGCTATCATTGTCCTATTATTGGCATCCATCCCACCCCTTGGATGAGATAATTTGCAGTTTTCATTATCATTGAATAAGTTAAAACTCAAGTGAAGATTTTCCTTGTTTTATTCTTTTTATTCTAAATATATTGTATCTTTTACTATTAACATGAAATTATGTCTTGGAGAGTGGACAATGGATACTATATTTTTATGGTGAATGGAGGCTCATTAGTAGAAGCACTTCAACTTTTATAAGGTTGCCCTAGAACGTATATATCTAAAATGTTGAAGGTTTTAAATCTAGGGGAAGGGGAATTAAACTGCATACTGAGGTATGCCTATTCAATATTTAGCTTTCTAGCATACCGTCCTTGACAACTAATTGCTACCTATCCAAAAGAAAAATAAAATAGAAGTCATAAAGGAAAAACATTATGTGAACAAGAAGTTGTAAATCATGATTTTTTAATGACAAATAATCAGAGTTAATGATGTCTAGTAATTAATAATGTATATTTCCACTATCAAAGTTATTAGTGGGCCTAGTGAAACATCCCAATAAGCGATGGAGAAGATATCATGGTTTTTCTAAAATAGAATTTTGGTTGTCAAACAATGAAATCCCTTTGGTCTTTTTATATAGAGCTCAAAAACCTTCTGAATCTTTAAGCTAGCAAGTTTAAAAAAAGTAGAGAGAGAGAGAGAGAGAGAGAGGATGAAGCATTTTTTAAGCCACAAGGGCTGAGTCTTAATCAATTTATCTCGAATCACACAAACCGATCCTATCAGGCCACTTAAGCTTCTTATCTTGTCAAACTATTATATCCCCCACCCACCAAAAGGACAGTCCATTTGAGCCTTATATCCCACAATGTATTGGAGCTTTCTCCAAGGGGTATTGACTACCTGATATCATCAGCTCCAATTGAATAAACAATCATTTCAGGGTGGGATAACCATCAAGTTTGCCGCTATTATCTCACCTATTCCAAAATAGTGGTTGGCTTAGTTTCTAGATTCAGGTAGGTTCTTAACAACTTTAAAAAGGTACTCAACTGCCCCATCATTTTGCTCATAAAGTCTTAATTCTGCCTCAATTTTCTATCAGACGTCCTGGATTGGAGAAAGTTAAGAGTTCTTCTGACATGTTCAATTACTTATTACAGGTGGATATTTCATTGAGGTTGCTAAGGGCAGGGAAGCATGTTCTCCAAGGTGAAGCATTCACATTAATCTCTGTTGCCTTAAAAAGGCATGCAATATTGTCGGTTTTTTTTTTAAGTCAGAAAATTGGGAAATGTACTTCAGGATTTTTTATATTCAGAAAGAAGAAACCCTGCTGGCTTTTCATAATATTATTCTTACTATCATTGCAATGGTTATAATAGATCCTTACGATTAGTATCACCAATGGAACATTAACTACTTTGTGATTCTTCCTCTGTGCATAATTTTAAATGTTGCCTTTTTCATTTGTTTTTGCCTTCTTTGTTGCTCGGAATATATGGTGGAAATGAAGAGAAACCAGCTGCAGCCTGTAAGTCACAATTCACATCCAATTTAATTGCTGTAGGATTTTTCTTTATGGTTCTGTAGAATTCAATTTATTATTACAGCATACAGATAGAACCAAAGGAAAGAGATCTTTGTGGTGAAACAGTACAATTTCATCTACTTTGGAAAAAATATTTATTTTCCCATTAATTTTCCTTTCCACTACTATTATGGACGTCTTGTGCAGGCATAACCACAGATTTGAAGATTAAATTAAATAATTTGTTATCAGTGAGGACATGTAACTTGTTATATGCTTAACTAGCTTGCATAACTGCGATGTAGGTAGAAGATACTTGCATGTTTTTGTACCATTTCATTTTGTTTACTAACAAGTTTTGTGTTTTTTTTTTTAATTCTTTTTAGCTGTTAGTGAGGCAAAATCTGCACTGTCATGTTATAATTCCCTATGTGCCAATTACCCTCGTCAACCACTGTGGGCTGTTGCAGAAAACTATCGGTTTGAACCAGCTTTTGTGGAGGTATTTGTTACTTTCATATCTAGTTTGCTTCTGACTGATCAGTGTCATAGGCAACTTATTCTCTTCTTCCTAGCACTCAACATAAATAGTTGTTGAATTTTTGCAGTGCAAAAAACTTATGAATGATATTGGTGAAATGATGTGTGTTCAAGTGATTGTTGAAGGATCAATGAACAGTTCAAATCCTTACTTCTCAAGCTCCTGGAGGCGTAATTTCACAGTAAGCTTTTCCTTAGTTTAATTGATAGTGAATAAGTGATAGTGTTTATACACACTTTTGTTATTTGGATTATCTCAACAATTGGCTACCTCTTAGTGAAATATCCTTGTAGCACTTTTCATTTTGTTTAAACCTAGCAAGGATGGATGCTCCCTCAACTAACACACCTTTCCATGTAACATATTTACTTGAGAAATATAATGTTGCTTTTCACAGTAACAGTTTCTTTAGTTGAACTGATTGTGATAAAGTTTGTAAACATGCTTTTGTTGTTTGGATGATCTTGACAATGGATTACTCTGTCTGATATTATTGTAGCATGTTTTTACTTGAATGTAACAAGGATGAATGTTCCTTACCTGGCAAAAGCACCTTATCATGTAATGAATACTTCATAAATAGAATGTTGCATATTGCATTTTCCATCTATAATACATATTAATATTGAACCATATTCTCTCACTCCTCTTTCTAGTATGTGTCTGCTCTAAGTTGCTTTTAATGAAGTCTTGGCTATCCACATCATGTATTCTATTATTATCTCATGTCTGTGGTTCCATCACTGAGATGCATTTCTAATCCAAGTATTAGTTATTGAAGTTTTATGAAGTAGTATGTTTAAGATGGACGGTACATACATGAACATCTCTTAGCTAACCCTAAAACAAGTGCTAATTGAAAGAAAATAATTATAAAAAATTAAGACAAGTGGGCTAGGGGCAGACCAAAAACGACATGGGTTGTAGTAAGAAATGATTTAAGGGACAACAAACTAATAATGGATATGGCACTTAACAGAGTGGAATGATTAACCCCAGCTAGTTGGGACAAGGCTTAGTAAGTTGAGTTTGAGTATAAAAAAGTAAGACAAACAAATTTCTTTTCATTAATGAATCTTTTTACTGATAAAAAAAAGTCTTGTCCCAACTATATAGGGTCATCTACATGAATCCTGTTCCACTATTTTGTTCTATTTGGTGTCATATCCATTATTAAATTATGAGTCATTAAGTCATTTCTTACTACATCCCATGTCCTCTTTGGTCTGCTCCTAGGTGTCTGACTCTTCCAGCCCCTTCAACTTGTAACAGGCCACTTCTTATGGGTGTTGTAGATGGTCTTCTCTGAATATGATCATACCATCTTAGTCTACTCTCCCTCATTTTATCACCTATTGGAGCTACTCCTAGGTTCCTTCAAATAATCTCATATCCTTCCTAGTTTTCCCATTCATCCATCTAGACATTCGCATTTTCTACCACTCATTTTTTGGACATCTTTCTTGACTACCCAACACTTTGCACCATACACCATTGTTAGTCTTACAACTGTTTTATAAAATTTTCCTTTTATGGGTGACATTTTGCCCATCCTGCTCTAATTCTATGGGTAACATTTTCCTCAATCTCTCCCTTGTTATGGATTACCAAACTGAGGTAACAGAAGAGGTCACATTTGGTTATTTTGTGGCATTCCCTGATTTGTACCATTGCTATTAAAATTACAATGCATATATTCTTTTTTAGCCATACTTATTTTAGTAACTATGCAAAGTAGTTATTACTCTAGGAAATATTTAGATTTAAAAGATACAAAAAGTACACATTTTCCATGGTATTCTGCCAGTACATGTTATTTTTAATGTGCATATATACTAATGATGATATCTTTGGCACCAAAATATCATCTCATACTATATATTTTTGCTTCGTAGCAAACTACTATAATCAGAAAAGTGAAATCATCCGTCAACTTATTCTACACATTCTTTTAAAAGGCTTAAGCCTTGAGGTATAGGCGAGGCGCATAGACTTTGCCTCAAGTATCAATGATTACTTAGTGATTTAATGCACATGATATATATATATATTATGCATTTTATAATTAAAAATATATGGAAGAAGCACTTCAATAATTATGGGCCAAATAAAAAGAGTAAAAATGAAAAACTAATAGGGTAAATCAAGTTCTATTAGTTTCTCTTAGGGTTGTATTCAATGCAAAAGGGGTCACTCAAGTTTTTTTCTCTTGGATAAATTAAGTGAGATTTTTTTCTTATTATTCTAAATCTAACATCTCAAGTTTGTTATTTTTCCCATTTCTTTTCCTAGTGGATCTTTTTTCTTTCTTTTTATTTATTTATTTCTTTTTGCATAGATCAAATCAACTAAGTTGTTTCCTTTCTTCTAAACCATTGGATGACCATAAATCTAATAATCAATTATATGGATGATTCTTCATATGTTTCCTTTCTTCTAAATTGGTCATTTGAATAATTTGAGAACTTTGAATTTTGAAAAATGAAATGTAAAGTGTTTATAATTTTTAGTTGATTAGTTATTATTTTATTTAATACTTAATTGCTGAAACGTATTGCTTATAAATTTCTATTTTATAGATATTTGTACTTTCTATCATTCTAATTTGGTATATTATATGTTATTTTTATCAATTTATAAACTTTAATTTTTTCTTAAGCTTTGAGGCTTACGCCTCACCTTTTTGGGCCATTATGCCTCAACTTTACACTAGTGAATTTTTATCAACCTCAGGCTTTGAGGTTTCCACTCTATCATATTCTAATTGCTTACTGAAATTTTGGATCAACCTTACACTAGTTCTTCTATTTTGCAGGGGGGTTTTATTCTAGATATGGGGGTACACTTCATTGCAGGATTGAGGATGGTAAGCTCATTATCAGTTTCATGTTTCTAATTCAATTGCTTTTTGGTCAAATATAATGCTTTTGGTTTATTTTGGCACCATATCCTGGTGTTGTTGTGGACTATTTCAATACTATGCTAATTTCTAATTGTCAAGACCATAGGTCATGAGTTAACTAAAATTTCACAGACTTGTCTATTGGGAGAGATGATGGGTCATTCTTCAATATCCTGATGATTTCATGTCTGCTCCAGTGGCCTGTATTAGCTATACCGCTATACAAATCTTGTCCCACCATTGTGCTTGATCAAGAGACATGTTTTCTGTCATTTACATCAGATCATTCTTACCACTTCAGACACATTTTCTTTGGTCTTCCTCTTGCTCTGTCCTCCTTTGTCTTGCCACTCATTTATTTCAGCATTCTCACCTCAGATACTTCTTTTTTTAGCATGTTTCTTGACTGCTCAACACTATATGCCATATAACAGTGCTGGTCTTATATCTGTCTTACAAAATTTTCCTTTTAGTTCCAGAATATCCTGGTAGTTCTGCAATAGTGCTTACCCATCCTTCCTCCCTACAAAATAAAAAAATAAAAAATAAATAAATCTGCAAGTGTAGAACAGAAAGAGATTAATTATTCCAATTTCCCAATTACAGACAGTTCGGTGCACCTCTTACCTTAAAAAATATGCCTATTTCTTCCCTTCATCAGGTTCCAAACATAGTGAAGTATGCCATGTTCAAAAAAATTAGACCTTTTCTTTGAAACCCTCAGGAGGCCATATGTTACCTCCAAAATTGATAAATGATCTAAACCTTGGAGGAGAATTGACAACGAAGAAGAGGATTTGCACCATTCATTCTTTACTCCAGCATAACAAGCATAGATTTCCCAAGTACCAATAGATGGTGGTTCAGTTGGTAAGGTCTCTAGCTGGTTGTAGTGGGAACTTGGGTTTAAATCCCGCTGTCACCAGGGTTGGGAGGTTAATGGGTATGGGGGACAGGCGCCCCCGCATTGTGTAACCCCATGAAGAAAAGAAAGAAGGCATAGATTTCCCAAGTCTCTACTATTCAGATCAAGGAGTTGATGGTAAGGGTTTTATTTTATCAAGCTTCTATTACACAAGATTATGTGGTCAATGGTGAGGATATACATTTTTTTATTTTCAATTCAGTCTTGTGTTGCAAAACCTATTTCATTTAATGCAGAAGAACATGCACAAGGCACATTTAGATTTGAGACATGTTCCGTCAGAGCATAAGCCTCACACTTATTGAAACATTGAAGAATATGCATTCAATTTATCCATCTAATCAGGTTTTATTATAATAAGATCATTATTGTCCAACTCTATCTACCATCCATCTGATAATAAATGCTGGTCTCCTGATTATGTTTAAATGAACAGATTGTTGGATGTGAGGTAACCACAGTGTCTGCTATTACTTCTCATGTAGATACAACTTTGCCTCCACCAGATAATATTTGCTCTCTCTTGTAAGTTTGTAAAGCATGACATTAATTTCCAAGTACATGTTTGTGTGTGTATGTGTATGCAAGCACATCACAACTAAGCTTGGCAATGAGAACTCAGGTGTTTCTCTGCCTCTGTAGTCAATTGGAAAATGGATGCTCTGGAGTGTTTGTAATGGCAGTCTCCACAAGATCACCAAAGGTATGTGCAGAAAGGATTCCTCTCATAATTGCCTCGAATCTTAGTCTCACTTTTATGCCTACTTATAAGACTCAAGCATTATTTAGTGCATTTAGATATTCTGGCATGTTGTTGGCTCAAGGGGAACATTACAAATTGAGCGTGGAAATAAAGATGGCCTGCATGGCTACAGTGTAAGTAGAAATTGTCTCAATACCAATATACCAATGGAAATTTATATGGAGAACTGCCGATGGTAGTATTGAGACTCTCCACTCTCTAGTCCTTAAGTGGAGAGTAAACTGATTTTTTTTCAAGAATTAAAGATTCCTAATATATCTGTCTTGCCATCTGTTACAGGTTTCATTTTACACAGCTGATGGACGCTGTGAAAGCTCCTTCTACCCTTTTAGTGGGGTTAATGAAGAGCTGAAAGCTTTTGTACATGATATTGGACAGTCCTTATTTAAGGTAGCATACATGTCAATACCATTTTATTCTACCCTATTTTATGGGCTATTTCCTCTGTCACTAATGTTCTTGGCATGGAATGAATTTTTTCATTGGTTTTCACTTGTTCATCCATTAAATGAAGTATTAATTAATGCTGAACATACCAGACCATCCAATATGAGAGGCATAAAGTATTATATTTAGTTCAATTGTCCCTTTTTGTTGTGAAGTGCCCAGCATTGAATAGGAATAGAGGAAAAAAAGTGAAGTGTACGTGTCAGATTATTTAGTTCAATTATTTAAATCAGTTTCATGGCTTTCAAATCTCCTTTTGTTGTGAAAATTACTTACCCAGACAACATTGTTTGAATTGCTTTCATACTCAACTATGTTTGTTATCTGGGTATAGGCATTAGTGTAAAGTTTTGTTTGGTGGAACTAAACTAACCTCTGAACTCTTAAGTGCCCATTTGGGAGGGCTTTAATGCAGCAGTTTTTGGCGTTACTTGAGCTAAGGAACCTGAAATGCCATGAAGCCGTGTTTGGTAAAAACCCAGAAAGTTGGAAATAGGCTTACGAGTGCCACAAAATCAACTTTCTGGTGAAGCTATCTCAGGTAGCTTCTCCGAAGTGGCTCAGTCGATACAAAAGCCCTCCCAAACAGGCTCTAAAAATTTTGCTTTTAAAGAATCAGGTGGCTGTTCTATTAAACATCAGATCACACCTCTGTGTTCTGAAAATTCCTCTTAAATTCTCATAGGTGACTCCTTTCTAAATAAGTTCAGCATTAATTTAAGTCTTTTGGACAATATTTCCCTTTGACAGTTTTTCCATTGACCATAGAAGTCCCAAAAATTGTCCCCATAAAGTATAATAAGATTCATCTTCATCCATGCCTTATCCCAACTATATGGGGTCGGCTACATGAATCCTGTTTTGCCAATTTATTCTGTTTAAAGCCATATCCACTGTTAAATTATTAGTGCTTAAATCATTTCTTATTACTTCTATCCATATCCTTCTTGGTCTATCCCGAGCTCTTCTAGCCCCTTCAATGTCTAACAAATCACTTCTAACTGGCGCAGTTGGTATAACAATATTGCTCTTTGACAGTTTTTCCATTGACCATAGAAGTCCCAAAAATTGTCCCCATAAAGTATAATATTTAAGATAATAATATATTGCTTATTATATGATATGCAATATCTTACATAGCATATAAAATATCTTATATATTATACAATGTTATATTATATAAAAAATAATATAATAATATTATGTTATGCATAATAGTATAACCTAATTTTGTCTAATATAATATATTATAGATATATGTTTTATGATTGTATAAAAAGATTGTGGGGCCCAACTGCATGCACTCTTTGTCATAGCTCATCCTCTTTTAAATGAGATTTCCTTAGCAGAGTAAATAAATAAATAATCTCAGATATTTATCTGTAGATCATACAGTGCTGACATGGATCCTAGTATTCCGTGCAAATATAATATCATCTCAAGATGAGTAAATTCATGGCATTTGAAGGTGTTGAATTACACAGATGTATTTGTATTTTTCAGAAAAGTGCAGAACTTGCAAGATGGTTCCTTTGTATCAGTTATGATAAAAGAACCGCTTACTCCTCCACATGCCATTTTTGCAGTGATAAAATTTACTGTGCACTAAGAACTTGTTGTAGTAATAATATTCTTTCCCTATAAAAACAAATGCCCTTCTCTGGTGGTTAAATTCATCTACTAATCAGGATTGTTCAATTTACCAATGAATTAATCCACAAGGTTGGAACAGATTGATGTAGTAGATGCAGGATTATCTATCCAGGTCCCCTATCTGATCAACAATCTGGATTGGCCAGAAGATCCATCCATCCACATGGCTAATATAGATTGGGTCATGTAGGAAAGCTCCCTTCTTAACCCAATTTAGGAAGCCCTACCCAAACGCCAACTCAATCCACCCACCACACAAAAACCCTTGAGCAGCCTTGTCTAGAAAGGGCATAACTGCTATCTTATTTGTCTGCTTTATTACAGGAGGATGGTAACCAKGAGGCTGAGCCACGCAGTTCTTTCATTGAAGGTGCCCGAGATGTTGCTGTCTTAGAAGCAATGCTTGAATCTGGTATGAAGCAGGGAGCACAGGTTACTGTCAAAAGATTCTAGCCAAATGCCAGTCATCTTATTCACATAGTTGGCCAGCTTGTAGATTATGCAGGAACTGCTAAAATTTTTTGTTCCTCTCCATGTGAGGCATAACTTTAAGACAGTTGCCAGGCCAAACAATGGAACACAGATCCGTGAAACAGATATCAAGGATGATGCCCTTTTTCTTACAAAATGTGTACTATCGTATTGTGGAAATGATACAGATTACAGATGCAAGAGAAGGGGGCATTCGTCGGTGAGTTGGTGTAATGGGTAAATGCAACTAATTAGTACTGGTATCTTTTCCCTATTGTGTGTATGGAAACCTTCTAAGGTTAGGAGTAAAAAACAAATGGCATCAGGTTACCCCCAGTATGACTACGAGTCTACGAGGCTTTGACATCTTTAGGCCAACTATCGAAACTTTGCATTGTTATATGAAAGAAAGTTCAATGAAGGAATTTTCTGCTTAAATAAAGGGCCAAGTTCAAGGTATTGATATTTCATTCAACTGAAACTCCTGTCTTTTTTTTCTTTTTTCTTCTTCCGATCTCGTCAGTAGAATTGTCATGTCATGTTTTATCATCTAAAACAAATCCATCATATCTTCATGTATCAGTGAGCCTGGAAAATGATAGGTACTATACGATATGCACAGATGCGTTTCAATGTTTTGAACCATGAAAGGAATAGGCATCGTGTTCTTGTGGGAGGTATAATGGGAGCCTGGAGCGGATAGCCCCGGTATCTTACGAGTGGAAGGTTAGGTCGCCTCCCATAAAGGTTTAAAACATAATAAATATCCAGTCTTTGACCTTCAATATCCAGACAGTGATTTGCGGTTTAAGAAAGTTGCAGAGGATAGAAAGGGGAGAAACTAAGACACGAACTCAGATCTGAGATCCAAAAGAGAGAAGAAGAAGAAGAATATTGCAGAGGTTGGAGAGAAATCGATCTCATATCTGAGATCTTAATTCTCAGATCTCAGATTTGAGATCTGTGTCTGTTGTCGCTGCCTTGCTGTTACCATTGCTGTTATCGTCACCAGTGAGCATCGAATCCTCCTCTTCCTTCTTCCCTCCTCTCCTTCCTTTCTTTCCTTTCTTTTTTTATTTCTCAGCCAACAACCAGTTTCTTCACCTTATTCATATAAAACTTTTATATGAAAAATATTTGCCCTAATAATGCAAACCATCCAAACTGTTCGACCTGGACGGTCAAACCACTGACCCAGAAACTGGTAGCTAGAACGGTTGTTTCCGGGATGATTTTTAAAACCTTACTTTGCTACATGATAATGTATGCATAGCCTGGACAGTTATTTTTCTATCTGCTAAAAGTATAGAATTTAGAATGATCCGGAAAAGATCAACTGGAACAGTCAGTCAAGAACTAGTAGACAATTGAGCACTGCAAATTCAGCATATACCCCGACTGGTGAATAGTGTGAATAAGTGAATTGACCACAGACCACATAGTCCATACCACCTCTCCGACTACCGTTGAGAAAGGGAAGTTCATACCAAGGTTTCGAAGAGAGCTCTGTTGACAGCCCATTTTCCGGAGTTTATAGTGTAGAATGACCAAAAGACTCTAACACGTACCCAGTTTTTGAATCGATGGATTAGTTGAGAACTTAGTCAAAAAATCTTCGAGTTTAACAGCTCGCGTCTACTGGCTGTTGTAACCATTGTCGCAGTTCTCGCGAAAGCCATATGAAAAGTAATAAAACAAACACGGACGAGACAACATCTCCAAACATCGAGCGATCTACTTTTCGGTTGGATCTTGCTAGAATTGCAACTCCGATATACAGATAAAACATTGCAATTAATCAAACATAAAAAAAAAAAAAAACAATTTATCATCTTGAATGAGTACGATTAAAATTGAAAAGTCGAAAGCTTAGCTCAGATACCTAGTAGGTGATTATATTATATTGACAGGTAAACATCATCTCATAACGGTAAAATAGCATGTCATTTCAAGAGGCGTTGTTTACTGGAATTCCTCGTTTGTGGTAATGATGATTAGCCTCTGATTGTAGGTATTTACTGAATCGTTATTAGGTGAAATTGGAGGCTGTTATATCTAGAGGCAGTTACTGCAATTAATACAAGGTTAACAGCAATCGACTCCCAAAGAAAACTCAAAGATTAAAGGATAAAAACGCTAAATCCATGAAACCATATACCTCGGTTTCACAAGGATTGAACCTTGGCTAATACAAATACAGAGAGATTGATCCCAGTCCCATATATCCCCCTGGTCTTGTTGTGTCAGTGTCAACACATAATCAGGTGCATCACTCGCATGTGGCTGATTCTTTGTTGCCTGCAGTCCTAATAAAAGCAGGGTCACGTGAACGGTCAATGACCAAGACAGGGAACCACACTACAATTTACAATTTCTTCAAGAGCTTGATTATGCCCTAAACACCTCACAACCTCAGTCACCTTGTAGGCAGTAAAGCTGACGGATATTTCCAGAAGCTGCCACATGAAGATAGGATTCAGTTAGTCCTCATTTTCTCTTTAAGTTTCATAAATGCAAGCAAGCACCAAAGTTACTCATGTTTCACTCACATCCAATTTAAATAATTGAAAGTGAAGAATCCAGCTGGACGCAATGCTTAACTTTTTTTTTACCCAGTAGAAACAACAAAAGTTCAAGTTACACAACTTATTCTTAGAAAAACTGATATAGATCATAAATTAAGCACATCTTAAGTCATATGGAAAACTCATCGAGGCATTCTTGTTTTTGTTTTTAAAAACAAAATCACACATATTGGCAAACACCCCTAAACTGTTACAAGTAAATAAGGTGAAAAAAATAAATAAATCAGTATCGAACTGTTGGTTTGATCTTAAGGAGCTTTACTGAAAGAAATTCAACCTAAAACAAGGAAAAAGAAAGTGATTCATGAAAAAATGAGATTACTTGCACTGCATATAAGTAGAAACTTGTACAAACTTTGGAGTTTACGAAGGAAAACTAACCGAGCCACAAGAATAAATGGAAAATGGAATAATGCATTGAGACAATCTTCAATTAAACCTACCAAGAGCACCTTGCAAAAACTAGCTTGCCAATTAAGTGAGGTGATCCTCCACAAGCGCCTTATCGCCTAGGCAGCACTCTAGAGGTAATCTACCTTGGCATTTCTTGATTGGCATACTAAGGTAGTAGACCTTAAGAGGTAGTCTCTATTTTTCCACATGTTAGTGGGTTATTTTTGTATCATTGGGGGTAGAAAAAAGGCATATGCACTCATTGGGTGATTTGATTTTTCACTTGATTGCTAGAATGCCTATGTTTTATTGTAGGGTTGCAAGAAAGTGTTGTGACCATGTGAACTCATCGAAACTAAATCAAGCATGCACTCATTCAGTGTTTCGGTTTTTCATTTAATTGGTAGCATGCTTGTGTTTCAAGGATCGCATGAAAGTGTTGAGGTCGTGTGAACCCATTGTTCAAACTCTATTTTTTTTATATGTTAGCAGGTTGTAGTGTGTCAGTTGGGGTAGCAATATCAAGATGCACTCACTGGATAATTTGACTTTTCATTTGATTAAATAGCATGCCTGTGTTTTGTTAGAGGGTCGTAAGTGTGGTGACCGTGTGAACTCATTGCTCCACAAGTTAAGCTATCTCTGTATTTCATGATTGTCGAAGTAAGGGAGTGGACCCTGAGGCAAACTTTTCAAGACATCTAGGCAAACTCCCTAGGTTCCATGGCAAGCAGCAATCATCTTTCACTATTAATTGTTTATAATCTTCATAAAAAATGTTTAAACTTTTGTTTTTGATAATTGAAAGATAATTTCATTAATCAAAGAAGATAAGCTGTTACAAGCATCCCTTGGAGAGGTGCAAGGTGCAACCTCTCCTAGATAGAAGTTACAAGCTTGCCAAAAATAGTTCTTCCCTTGATACCCCCTTGTTTGGCAAGAAAGTCAGCAAAAGCAACATATTCATGAAAAAAATACAAGATAAAAAAAGAAATTTCAAAAAATAGAGGGACTGAGCCTCTATTTTTGTCTTAGGAAAGGAAGAAAAGAAAAGAAAGGATGAAAGAGGAATGAGAACAAGAATGATCAATATGTGTTGACTGGACATAATTTTGAGTTCCTTCATGCTTAACAGTTCAGGTTTTGAAGTACATTTATCAAAAAAAACAGTTCAGGTTTTGAAGTCTTCAAGGGTTCAAGACACTATACATGTTGGTTAAACCCTAAAAATAAAAAAACAATAAAAAACTAATATTTTAACTCAAACTTATTTTTTGAGAAAAGTACAACTTTTATTGCAAAAAAGGGGAAGGACGTATAAAAGCTTTAGCAAGGCTGTCTAAAATTTTAGAGAACAATACTATCCTTTCCTAATATTTCCTTGAAAAAGATAAGAACTCTGTAACATTTTATGAAACTTTCCCATTCTTTTCCTAATGTTTCCCTGTATATTGTTCAATGCAGAAACTTAATACCATTTCCAAATTTCCACAGGATTGAAATGTAGAGACTACCTTAAAAACAGGAAACGGTGTTAAAGTGGTGTTCAAGTTTCAAAGAAAGCTCAAAATATTGAATTCTAATATCATTTCTGCAGAAACTGAAACACCAAATTCAAATCAATGAATTGTTGCTGTTACATCCATCAAGCAATTAAATTTTCCCACTTATGAGAGAACACAAATGCATTACAAAGCAATGATGCAGTTATAACCCATAAGATGCCTATCTAGTTAGACATAGAAAGCTGCAACAGGAATAAGATTCCTAAGCAATAATTCCTTTTGATAAGCAGGGGTGGAAATGCTCAGATTTTTCTTTTCTTTTTTTCAAGTGAAATGCTCAGATGTATTACTATTAAGACATATAAGCATATTATAAATTAAATTTCCAAATAGCATAAAAAATGCCTTTCCAGGATATTTACATTATTCAATAAGAGAACAAAATGAAGAAATAGAAGGGGACATGAGCATTACTATATAGCCAGTCTTTGAAGTATATGTGGAGAGCGTTTGATAGTTCCCGTTTTCGACTCTCTTCAAGCTGCAAGTCTCTCAAAGCTTGCTTTATTTCCCCTAAATTCTGGTGCTGGCAAAGAAACGGATATTCAATATTTTCAGTATTGGAGGCAGAATAATGGAATAAAAATTAACATCAAACTGACAGCCTTATCCAGGTGTGGCAGCCAAGGACTTCCATCTTGGTCACATGCCACAATACAATAAAAATCATGCAACCAAGATGTGTTATATGGTCACCTTTGACAAATTCAAATAATCTACAATTCTGCTGGTTTACTGGGCCAATCACAAGAATCCGGAATGACCCTTGGCGCATGCACCTAAGCATGTCTAAGGTCTGTGCGTAAGCAAAGAATATATTGTAATTGTAAATATGAAAAAAGGGGTAAATTATTGATTCCCCCACCTCACAAATTTGTCACTGTACAAACAGTGACAAGTGGGGGAATCTGGACACAATACAAGGGGAGGATATGTGTATCATAGGTGGGGGACTTGCAAAATAAAACCAAAAATAAAAATAAAAATTTTGTGAGGTGGAATGATAATTTTCACAAGAATAAAACATGCAAACCTTGTAAATAAAAATCACAAAGGCAGTCAATTAAACAAAAAAGTTACAGCAGTAGCAACAACAAGCATAGGTAAGGCCACATACATTTTTTTGCTGAGATGCCATGTAGGTCTCAGGCAATGAAAATGGGTTGTGTTTAGTGGACTCAGGTGATTCACCTCCAACCCAGTTGGGAATCTGCTCAACAAAACCAAAGCAGGTTATGCAACACAGCTTTCCACAATAAAGTGATTGACATTTTGATTTGGAAATTGAAAATGTGGCATATCATCATATCCAATAGACAGTTCAAGTAAGGTGAAGATCAACTAATAAACAATCGCGATGACGTTCAGCTACAGATTATTTTAAACATCCACGAGGAAAAGGTCAATGCGTATTTGCAACCAAACTTGCATATGCAGCACCTAGAACTAGAATACAGTCTAGTGCCTAGGTCCCAGAGAAATATGAAAATACCAAGAAATTTGTGAACTGATCAGGATCAAGACATGTTGCTGACTCTGCTTGAACATCAGAGACCCCTGCAGGATGAGATAACGAATCATGTGGATCAACCATACCCAGCACCATGGGTTCATTCCATCTGTTTATACTTGTATCAACACCAACTTGAGTCATGTGTTCCTTCAGTTGTGGATAAAAAGTATTATATGGTGCCACCTGACAAAAGAAACATTCAAAAATAGTGATTGTTCAGAATTCCAGGGTGGTAATTCACTGTTCAATGGCATTTATAGGTCAATTGCTCCACAACAGGATTAGTGACTTAAAACCAAGATTGGGATTCAGGTTGACATAAAGATAGCATATCAGCAACATCTTTCGGTGGTTGGGTTTAAACTGAGATGAGATGCACATGCACTTACCTAAACCCAGCTATTTTGACCACACCCATACAATTTCAGCAAACTATAACAAGATATTGTAAACAATGCAAACAGACAAAATCACAGAAAACCTTCAAAATCTTTAAACCCCAAAGAAAACAGATTAAGTGTTGATAAAAAAAGGTGCCATCTTAAAATGCAAAACAGAAAGGAATTTTAGAAGCATTCTTTTCTAAAAGTTAGCTAACCACTAATAAGGCCTAAAAAAACCAAGGGGTATGAACTACAAATTGATCATCAAAAAGAACTTGCACCAAATTACCACTAAATCAAATAAGAATATTTTTTAAGAGCATTGCTCAAAGAGAATGTAAAAGCAATGTTTGAACCAAATCTTGAAAGGTGGATAACTATATTGTGGAGGGCTATGTTAGTTATACAGGATAGCAAAGCCATGATGTACACAAAGCATGAGACAAACCTTCTTACCTGCAGCTTATGATTATCTCCAAGAATAAGTGGTTGCTGATTTACCCCAAGGAAGAACAAGCACTCACGACAATTGGCAATACAAATTCGTTTTGCTGCTGCAATCACTTGCACGCGCTCACAGTGCTCCACTCTTACAGCCTGTAAAATACAGGAAATTCAAATTATGGAACACTCAGATCAATTTTCTCCAGATTCCTCCATATGGAAATTTTGTAATTTTCAGGGTTTTTTTTTGTTTTTTCTTGAGCTTTTTGAGTTATTTTCTACTTTACTGGTGTATAGGAATAGATTCAATCATCTTAAATGGTCCAAATAGTTTGAAATTTAAGTAATAGGTATGTCAATTTTCAGATGATTACATTTTAAGATTGGAACTTGTTCATTGACTTGGACTTTGATATCCTTTAATAGATTGCTCAGTTTCCTATCCTACAAGACCAATATCTTATGAATCCAATGTTTTTAAAGGGGGTTACAAACATGGTTTCAGTATGTGGTAGAATTAGAGTATTTTCAGGTTTTTTTCGATCTTGGAGTTGCATTAATAGGATAAGTAGTTAGAATTTAAGAATGTATAGAAAGTACCTATGGGTTATATATGAACTTTTTTAGAGCGCAATTACAAGTTGTTGGTCGTAACTTTCAGTAGAAGATCAAGACTGTAATCAGTATTGAATCCTAATAGGTTTTAGGTTTACAAAACAGAAGAAAAGTGAGAGAAAGGAGAGAGAATAGAAGAGAAACAGGAGAACACAAGTGGTTGAAAGGAGGGACAGATTCTAACAGATCTGCCGCCGCCACTCTCTTATTATTTATAGGTTATGTTTAGTACATAATGGAAAAGACACATCTGCCCTTAGTACTTACATAATAAATAAAGTAAATAAAAGCTGAAATAAATAACAACTGAATTAACAAACTGACTCAAACTGACACTACTATAACTGAAACAAATAACTACACTGCTGTCCTACGAACACAGTGGGGACCACTGCAGTGGGGCCCACATCAGTGTTCTCTACACTTTCAAGTCTAAATTTGCATCTATAAAGGAAGATCCAAGCCATTCTAGTGACCCAATAAACTGAATTTTTATGATTGAATTTCTAAAAGAGAACTAATGGATTGAAAGGATGAAACTTGTGGTGGTGGCTAAGATTAGTGTTCTTGCAGTTTTCCTTTTTCTTTATCCTCTCATCTCCCTAGTGTTATCTAGTGTTAAAGGAATGCCCCTAGGCTCACAGCTGAGGTTTATCTTTGGGGTGCACCTGACCTAAACCCAGGTTCACTTTATTCAAGTTATTTCCTTGTGCCTCAGGCTCTAGAAACCCCTTACACTTCTTGCATTTAGAACGATGCCTCTCTAGGTAAGAGCTAAAACTTCTTGCTGATTTCTTTTATTTCTCTGCATACTATTTCTTATTTCCTGCATTATTTTCAGATTGTAAGTAAATTGCAATTATACATGACCCCCTTTTCTTCTTTCATTTATACCTATTTATAGGAAAGGAGAATACTAATTGTACATGTATAAGGGAGTCCTTTATTTTTTTTCTTTACAAACTACAGAAAAAGAAAAGCATTAGATTGGCACAATCTACTTTGTCATACAGCTATGGAACTGTAAGTAGGTCCTACATTTTTTTGTTTCTCTTGAATGTATGTGGTTCTTTAAAAAAATTGAGATGGGCTTACCAGGGGTTAGAGATTGAGGTGTCTTGTTTTAAGAAAGGGCAAAAGAATCAGAATAGATCACGGTATTCAGAAGTGAATAAATGGTAGTCTTCACATCTCAATGCATAATTTAAATGACTGTTAAAATCTTACAGTTTACAACAGGATTCACAATTTAAATCATGAATCATAAGGGTATCAATTTGAATCTTATGATTAAATCCCTTTTTCAAAAAATCCTCACAGTTATTGCGTGAATCATACAATTTGAATCAAATTGATTAGGACCAAATTTTGTACATTGCCATTTCTTTATTTCTTTTTCAATTTTTAGCAGCGGGCTTTTATTTTAAAACCCTAACTAGAATAAGGCATTGAAGTTTTCTATAGACTTTTTTTATCAGAAACGATAAAAATAATTCATTAAAATAGAAGGGAAAATAAAAATGGTACAAAAGGAAAGGTAAACTAAGTTTTCTATAGAATATTTAAAGAACATCTTCAGTTAATTTTCATCATATGTAGTTTAAAGGGTCGGTTAATTTCTCAAGTCAAACTTGATTATATCATCCTTACACTTTATACAGGTTGCAAATTTTGTATTTTAATTACTTATAAGGTGGTTGTGGATTGAAAATGTGATAAAAAAAAACCATTTATATATTTAAGCTTTAGCATACATGCTTTCATTTTTCAATAAATTTTTTAGAAAGCAGAAAATTAACAATAGGATTCATGCTTCAATTCAACTCAACTTTCTCTGACTTAAAATACAATTACAATATTCAAAACATTGATACCTTGCCAACAGCTCCAAGAACTATAGTTGCATCAGAACATCCATAAACAGTGGCATATCTTAAGGGTGCTAATATGTATATCACTGAGTCATGACAATTTAAAACCTGCAATAAAAAAAAAATTAGGCAAAAATAATATTAAGAGAAATATTAGCCTCATATGAAAACCATGGAACTTCTGGTCTGTATATGCATGCATAAAGCATATAACATAAATTACAAAACTCAAAAATAACTAACTGAAATTGAAATAGAGGCACTATCCATGTTTTATTAGTATAGCAGATGAAGGTCAGTCATATCCCTAAATGCCTATCATGGAATAAATTAAGCTCCATGTAGGGATTTGATTATGGAGATGCCTGTTCGTCAAATAAGCAAATATTTGTTGGAAACAAAAACAACAATATGAAGAGAACTCCTTAAGAAGGTAGAACATCCATTGCACCGTATTGCATTATGATCTAAACAGCATGATCGTATACATGAGATCCCCCTATACAATGAGTAGCCATACCATGGCAATGCTTTTAGCACTTAAAGACATATGGAAATATATGGAATCTGGCATCAAACAGACACCACAAAAGACCAGGTCCAAAGCTGTTATCATCATCATGCCCCAACCCAACTGAATATGTTCAGGGGTTTGCTGTAGCACCATAACTTCTTTCTCTCCCTTCTCCCCCCTTCTTTTGGTGGTCCTTCCCAAGGTTCAAAGTATCGATACATATCGACCCGTATCAACCAATACGTATCATGCCGATGGCTTCCCGATACGCCCCTCCAGGGGTTGTATCGGGTCAGCCACTGGTTCAGAGGGTAGCTGGACCTTAAACCGACCCCTCTGAACCGGTTTTGAAAAAAATAAGTAAAACCTAAAAAAACTACCGATACACCTCTACCGGCGTATCGGGCATATCGATATTTTGAACCTTGGTTCTTCCATTCCCCTTTTCTCTTTATTCTCTCTCCTTTTATCAGTTTTCCATTCCCCTTTTCTTTTCATTGCTTTTTTGTCACTAATCAAAAGAAAATAGTGAATATACATTGCTCCCTTAAGCAATTTGGACAGACAAAATTTGATATGACACTCAAACATATGATCAAGCAGATTGTATATGACAGTTACTTGAAAGAATCAAGAACACCAACACTGTTATCAATGTATAGTTACAGCTATATAAATATCACTCTAATCAAGTCAACTTTGGCCAATTTGCCTGTCTATTTTTTTTTTTTTTTATCAATAACACTTTCATTAATTCATCAATAGAAGATTTACAAAAGGAAGACAAACACGCTTATCTTCCAAGAGCAACAAAGAACCTCAAGAAAAGGAAAAAAGGAGAAAAGAAAGAAAACACACTAAAGTTACAGCTTGGCCCAAAAAAGCGAATCCCTTTCT